TTTGCATTGAGCACATTTAAACACAGGTAGGTGTAGATGCTTAAAAGTGAAATCCAAACAAAACCAAGGTGATGGCTTGGCAAATTGGTTGAACAAGTACAATTCAAAATAACAGTTGAGTGTTGAGTTGAAGTGTCTCATTAAAAATAAATCCTTTCAGTCGAAAGTGCACAAGCATGATGCATATCCCCAAAATGGGTAATTGATGCTTTTCAGATCCATTTGCTGGTGTTTGCCTCTTGCCTGAATTGCATTGAGTGGGATGGGAAGGCACTCAGCTTTGTCATGCCCGTTTCTAGTCACATATTGCTGTTACCCTGCTGAGGATCTGTTAATTTAACTTATTGAAAAGGCATAAGGTAGTAATTTAGTCTTTTTGTTAATCACCTCATTGCATTAAGCTTTGTTGTTCAGTTTCATTATCTTATATACCATTGTAGGGTAATGGAAACTCTAGTTGAATTACCATAAGCACAATTATGATTTATTTGATCCCAAACTTCTTGACTTACATTGCATACCTACTTGCCCATAATCCAAGACATTTATATTCACTTATAATTATGCCTTTCACAGGTGACAAACAGCATAGGGAGCCTGCAGAACCACTGAGAGTAAGATTGGGAACAGCATTGTAATGCCAGGGCACTGCCAGTCCTACAGTCTTGCTTGTTGGTATGCTAGTTTTTGTATATGACTCCTCCTGTTTCATAGACTATAGCCAAGTTGTGACTTGCATTCACTGGCTGGTACCTATAATATAAATCAAAACGATACCAGGTGAGATACAATGGAAAAATTTCAAAAAATTGAAAAGATTGGTGAAGGCACATATGGTATTGTATATAAAGCAAGAGACAAAGAAACGGGAAAGATAGTGGCACTGAAGAAGATCAGTCTGGATGTGTAAGTATTCCATTTTCCTATTTATCAATAGTGCCTGTTATTGATCAATACGGTTTCATCTGATCATGATTCAGCATGCTTTTGGTTAAAGTTTCACATCTAACTAGCTAGTTGTGATAGAAAGCAAGTTATACTTTTCAAGTCACTTCAGCTGAAAATTTGATAACCCCAGTCTAGCTGCTGTAAGCAGCTCTTGATTGTTATTCTACAGCTCTATTGTTGAACATTTTGGTGCAAATTTACCAAACACGATTTGTCTTTTTCTGCCTGCAGCGATTGTGAAGGTGTTCCAAGCACTGCCATCCGCGAGATATCGCTGTTGAAGGAACTCCAACACCCCAACATCGTCGAGCTGCTCGATGTCGTCCACAGTGATATGAAACTCTACCTCGTCTTCGAGTACCTGAACCATGATCTCCGCAAGTTCATGGATCTGGCCAAGCCGAAAGGCATCTCCAAACCTTTGGTAAAGGTAAGGATTTTTTCTTTCAGAGTGGCTTTGAAGTAACAATGTCGCTTTTGTCTCTGAAAGACTTTCAACTCCAGTAGTATCCACTCCACCCCGCAGGCCTAACAGCACTGTTCCTCAAACTGCGGCTGTGTCCTGCAGCGCGGGCCGTTTCCCGCAGCAGTCGAACGCCGTAAGCCGCTGGCTCGGCGTCAGCCGCTGCCCTGCCCTGTCCGCGTCTGCCGCGCGTGTTCACCCGTGTCGGCTGACCGGCGCCCGTGTCCGCCGGCAGAGCCTGCTGTGGCAGATGATGCGCGGCATCGCCTACTGCCACTCGCACCGCGTACTGCACCGCGATCTCAAACCGCAGAACCTGCTCATCGATAAATCAGGTCAGTCGCGGACCGGCGGCCAGCGCACCGGGACAGAGGACGTGCAGGGTTGGACCAGCCACATTATAACGCACATTTAATTTGGTGATATCCTAAAGCAAGTTATACAATATGTCGAACTGTGCTAGTATGAGTGTCTACGTGCTTCCTTCATTCATTATCGTCATGTTTGTGATGTTCATTCTTAGCTGTACGTCATTTAGTAGTCTTATGTCTGTCTCAATCGCACCTTAAAGCAGTGTTTCGAGTTCTCGCGAATCTGGTGATGGCCGGTAGCAGCCGACGACTGGTGACCTGTGACGAACAGTCCCTCTGACGGCCCCTGTGCTCGGGTAGGCCGGCTGAAGCTGGCCGATTTCGGCCTGGCGCGCACGTTCGGCGTGCCGGCGCGCACCTACACCCACGAGGTGGTGACGCTGTGGTACCGCGCGCCGGAGATCCTGCTCGGCAGCAAGGTCTACCTGGTGGCCGTCGACGTCTGGAGCATCGGCTGCATCTTCGCCGAGATGGTGAGATGATTACCAATATATTTAACCAAATTAACGCATAGGTAACGTGATAATAATATATAAATCATTCAACGTAGAAAACGAGGTCCTGATATTGATCGTCGAGGTAGTGTTCGAGCTCATTCATTGTGACATGCAACGTGACATTGACATATACGTGACAACTTTTTGATCACACGTGACCGTGTGATCGCCGCTGCCGGCTTCTGAGCGCACTGACCGTGTATGACTATTCGTCCTGGTGCCTTGCAGCTGACGCAGCGGGCGTTGTTCCCGGGAGACTCTGAGATCGACCAGCTGTTCCGCATCTTCCGCACGCTGGGTACGCCCGACGACCGCGTCTGGCCGGGCATCTCGCAGCTGCCCGACTATAAGTCGACGTTCCCGCGCTGGGAGCGCGCGCCCCTATCGGGCGCCGTGCCGGGCCTGGACGAGACCGAGCTGAGCCTGCTGAGCGCGCTGCTCACATACGACCCGGCGCGCCGCGTCTCGGCCAAGGCGGCGCTCTCGCACTCGTACTTCCTGGACGTGCAGCAGGTGGTGCCCAGCTCGGGCGCGTTGGACTCGTGAAGACGGCGTGTGTGGGCGCCGTTTGTGAGCTCCTGACGGGTCAAGTGGACCGGTGAGAGACCCGGGCGGTACGGCAGGGGAGGGACGCTCATTGGCCGGGCTCTCTCTGCAGTCCGTGTCCCGCAGTGTCGTCCCCTGCGGCGGTGTGACCGCCACTGTACACTGCCATCCATCTCTCCGGTGACAGCCGGGCCGCGGGGTGGCCAGTGACAGATGACAGGATAGTGGGCAGATGCCACGCGCGCCTTACCCGCCCTCCCAGATAACTATGTGGCGACGGGAGACAGATTTGAGTTCCGAGACACCCGCCGCGAAGATCTCTCGACCAGCCGATGCGGAGGTCTGCGAGCTCACCACCGGGTTACTGCCGGGGACTGGGTTTGCCGGTGTTTGTGAGGTGTTCAAGATTGATGTTTTCTTTGACGCGGGGCCGAAATACCAGCTCAGCAGCCGGCTATGAACTTCTGACGGTAAAGTATTCCCGGGAGGCTGTGTAAGACTGCCTTATGCTCCAATCAGCTCACAAGGCAGTTGCCATTTGATGCTGCTGAGGGTGACATGTCCTCTCACGGCCACCGACCACGATAAAACCTAAGCCATTCCAAGTGCCTGAAGAAGAATGTTTTCTTTGTGAGTGTTTGGGCAAAACCATTTGGGAGAAGAGTGTTGTGATTTTCGACGTTTTTACGTGTTATGGTTTCCACACGTCTCATCAACTCTTCCATACGATGTTGACCTTGCCAATATACTTTTTATGTCTTGATGATTTGACCCCTTCTCGAGTTAGACGAACCGCTTCAAACGGCACACCTGTAAGCTGTGACGCTGCCTCGTCTCTGACCGTGCGTTGTACGGCGTCGAACGGCGTTAGTCCATGGACGGGATCCTGCGAACGGCGCAACTTAGTACACACCCTGGTAAGTGGCCAGTCTGGGCGACTCAGAGTCCTTAAACGTTGTAAAAGTTACAGGGTACTACTCAATGGGATTACCACTTACACGTTACACACTAACTCCTCAGTGGGCTGACACTCCGCATTGCGCCACTCGGGACGGGCCGCCATGGACGGGCGCCCTCCCCTCCCCGGCCCTGGGCGAGTTGTCAGTCCGGGGCCGGGCTCTGGACGGGCTGTCGGCGGTGGCTGGCGGCCAGCTGGGTCAGATGTGGCTGGCAGGGGCGACCCTCTCCTCCGCCAGCCAGGCGCCGAGGGTCACTGAATCTCCAGGACAGCGCGACCCGCGCACCGGCTCGACGCTGCTGACCTACGGACCCTGGGGCACCACTGAAACGGCATACGGCAAACGAGCGTCTACAAACTAACCCCTTATCGATTTCAAACAAGCTATCGTTTTTTATAGAAATGTTTACAGTTATTTAGAAGAACAGTTCGAGAGATGTGTCGTCAGTCCTGTATTAGGCTTATCTTTACTTTCCCATCTTTTTTTTTTCTTTAGTTGAACTACGTCTCGAGGGACCCATCGCCCTATCACTGTGTGACAAAGTAGCGCGATGAGCCGTTAAGAGGTCCGCTGAAGTTTGGCGATAGACGGCGTGTCCACTGTCCTGGAGCCGTCACTCACAGCTGTCCGTGAAATGACTCCGTCGGCGACCTCCGATTGGCGACACGCGGATTCCGCTGTCAGCGCGCGGCGGCCGGCCCTCCCCGTGACGGGCGGATGGACTCCGGGCGGGCGCGGCGGCGGTGCTCTCGGGCTGATGTCACCCCGACGCCCAGATCAAAGCGCGGCCTCCGCCGACTCGGCCGGTGGCCCGTGGCAGCGGCTGCTCGGCGCCGAACAAAACATGCCCGCACCTGTTGCACTGCGCTTGTCGGCGGCCGGCAATACGACCCGAGTTTTGGCAACACGTCGAGTGAGTGTCGGGTAAGTGTTTACAGAACCTTTGCTTTACAACCGTTTACTTAACCCCTCATGTGTAACCTGCACCTCTTCTCAATGAATGGGCGGATACTGCTAAAATGAATTAATCCAACCCACTTATCGCGGGTAATGACCACTCTATTCTGGATGATCCATCAATATCTCAACGCTCTCTGCTCGGCCTTCCCTGGATAAACAGCGCGTCGAAGCCTCACTGGCAAGCGACTGGATTCTCATCTCCAGAAAGGCAACACAAAAATACCCGTGGGCCATGGCGCCGACGCCGCCAAAGGGTGTCGCGTTTCTGCGGTGACGCGTCGGCCGGCGCCGCGGCAGCAAACGACTGGAATCGCGGCGCGTCGGTCCCGGCGGCGCGGCCGGACGGAAATAGCAGCGCGCGCGGTGTCACGGCGTGTCGCAGCGCCGGCCGACGGCTGTCCGTCGGGCCGCAGTCGCCGCCGCCGCCCGGACCCGACCGCCCGCCCGCACCTGCCGCCGACCCGCACACTCAGACAACAACCATGTCGGACGAGGATGAGAAGTTCTCGGTGAGTTGCTGACCGCTGGAGCCGTGCCGCTTCGCAGCGAACGCCGGCAATCGTTAAAACATGATTAACTTTGCTATGCCTGTCTGCATGTGTAGCATCAAAGGAACAGCGAACGTTGTATTTGCTGCTGTTTGGTTAGGAACTCAATAGCCACCCCTAACCCCACCCCGGTCCGGCTGCTCGCAGGAAGAGACCGGCCTGGAGAAGGAGCAGATTGTAGTGCTGCGCCGCGCCTTCGAGAGCTTCGACAAGGATAAGCAGGGCTTCATCACGGCCGTCACCGTCGGCGACATCCTGCGCATGATGGGCATCAAGGTCTCCTCGTCCTCACTCAAAGCCATCATCGAGGAAATCGACGAGGACGGTACGGAACAGAAGCCGATTCATGCATTAGCAATAGCACCGCGGTTGATAATAATCCACAGCTAAAAATCGAGTATCAACTGATCGTTCTTTGTTTTGTTTTGTTTTGTTTTGTTTTTCAATTTTCATCATGGAAACAGGAAAATGATGGTGAGCAGGAACGAAGCAACGCTGAATAGCATTTCCTGAATAAATAAATCTGCTTGTTTACATAGTAACACGGCAATGGCGTATTTTGAAAGACGGATAAGAGATGAAAGACACTTGGTTCTCAGGTTCGGGAGAGATCGAGTTCCCAGAGTTCCTGCAGCTGTCGGCCAAGTTCCTCATTGAAGAGGACGAGGAGGCAATGCTCAAGGAGCTCAAGGAGGCCTTCCGTCTGTACGACAAGGAAGGTGAGTCCGCCACTGTCGGCAGTCAGACGTCTGCACAGCCGTAGGATAACCTGGGCCACAGCACAGAGCGGCAATCTGCAGTTATATCGTCTGATATTTAGCCCACCATCAATATCATGACCATCCGGGAACGAATGTCTTTCCAAACACTCCTCTTAAAGTTTTACGACTGCTGATTATCACCTCTCTGAGTTCATCGGGTCTCGAGAGGTCCTCTCGAGCTAGGAGTGTCACACCCCTTCGTCCGCTGACCGGTCACCCCTGTGCGTCCCAGGAAACGGCTACATCACCACTCAGACTCTGAAGGAGATCCTGCACGAGCTCGACCCGCGGCTCACCGAGGAGGAGCTCGTCGGCATCATCGAGGAGATCGACGAGGACGGCTCGGGCACCGTCGACTTCGACGGTGAGTGGCCGGGGAGGAGTCGGGTGCCGGCCGACAGCCGGGGTCGGGTTTCAGGCGGACAGGAGCGGCGGCGGAGCTGGCCGTCCGCCCGGCGCCCTCAGCCCGGCGCGTATTTATAGAGAGATGTCCTGCGATCAGCGTCCCATCAGACCCTGGCTCCAGAGCGGTGACTCACTGCAGGTGGGGCGGGAGGGAGACCACGACCAGAGCTGGGGCAGCCGCCGCGCAGCCGCTGGCTGGATTTCTTCAGTAAGATGGGGGTTGTGAGGGCACGAGGCGGCTCCTTTAGTCGTAAGTGGTGCTCAAAACCCTTACCGCCACCTAATACACACCACCACGCTTTAATCATATTAACATCTTCGCTGAGTGTATTTACTCTGCAGAGTGTATTCTCCGTATGAAGCGAGACTTGTTTCGCCTATTATGTTCAGTTGGACATGCCACTGTTGTTCACTTTATTCTGGATGCGTTTGAGTTGACTTCTGCACCTGGTTTGATTTGCGTCTGTTTTCGGTTGCCGTTTTATTTCACTCTTTGATTCGCTGTCTGCCGGAGCCGGTCACCCGACGGTGTGTGCCCGTGTGTGGTGTCTCTGCAGAGTTCCTCGAGATGATGACCGGCTAGAGGGGAGTGCGCGCGCGCGCACCCGCGGCTGCGTGCCGCCGGTCGCCCGTCCGGCCACGGTAACCGTCCGTCCGTCCCGTCCGTAGCGCCGCAGCCGTCCGGCGTGCCCTGCCGTAGCCGTGTGCAGCGCTAGCCGTGCTCAGTGTTTGTCGCCTTCCGGCCGTCCAGTCGTGTGCTGGTGTGTGTATGTCGTGTGATCGGAGGAGGCGCCCTCGTCCCTCCGTCCTGACCCGTGTCAGGGCGCCGACCTGGCGGTGACCGAGACTGGAGCAGCGGCCGTCCCCAGGTCGCTCCCGCTCTGTCGACTGGCCGGGAACGGGAACGGGCAGCGAGCTCAAGTGACTACCGACAACCGAGTGTCGACTAACCAGCCTCCTACTCATTTTTCGCCGCGCCTTCGCTACGTATTTTTCCGTTTGCTTGTTTCGTTTGGTTGTGGAGCATGGTCTGTAGCCGTTCACGAGCCGTCCTACCAGAGGCTGAGGTACGGACAGCCGCCCGGTCGTTCTCCCGTGTCGCAGCGTCTGTCTCACCCTCTTACTGGCAGGTGGTGAGGGATTTGCACAGTGTTCTGCTGCCGACGGCGGCCCTTGTCAACGAGTGCTGTAGACGTGTCCCTTGTCAGAATCCTGTATAAACGTGTTCGCTACGCATACATAATTAGCTTGTTTAGTATGTCGTTGAGGGTAGTTCCTCATCCATCTTTTTGTGATGAAGACAGGAATTTAGCAACTCGTCAACGTTTACATTTCCACCAAATTTACAAAGAGTAGAATTGTGCGTATTCATAATATTTGGGAAAACGTGTCAGCCTTAACTTCATTCTGATTGTCAAACTTTATATCCAGAAAGTACCTGCTATTATCCTTGGTGGCTATGTCTAATCTCGGCCTGGAGATTGCCGTGTTCGCCGTCACCGTACAGCCGTCCGAACGGTTGCGGCCAGCGACGGCGCCGTACCACCTACTCATCAGTCATCACAACCCCGTGCCCCAGCAGGCAACTGACCTGAGCGCCCCCCTCTCCGGCAGAGTTTATGGCCATGATGACGGGCTGAGCGGCTCCGGTAAGGTCTGGCAGCGACTCCTTCTCACACTCACTCTCTCTCTCACGCGCCACGCCTCTCTCTGGCTCCATCTCTCCGTCTCGTTTTGCCTCTCCCTGGTGTCCGCGGCTCCCGCTCTCCCCGAACTCACCCGGCCGGCCGCGGCGCTCCGGCCAGCGCGCCTCTGCCCGGCCATCTGCTCTGCCCAGCTCTGCACAGCCCGGCCATCTGCTCTGCCCAGCTCTGCACAGCCCGCCTCGACTCCGCGCGCTCTCCGCTCTGCTGGCGACTCTGCTCTGCTGAGGACTCTGCTATGTGCAATGTGTACTCCGCGACGCGCTGCTTACAGCTCGGTATATTTTCTGTCTGGCTCGGTTTCGCCCTGGCCTTCCCGGTCCCCCGGCCGCTGCCGGAGGCCGGCGCAGCCCGCACATCAGTCGACATCAACGCTCCTATCGCTCGCTGCGCTACCTCGACTCGCCTTCGCTTGCGTGCTTATCAGATCTCATTTGTTTTGTTTTGTTCTCACGATGTCGACTCTTCATTCTTTCGTTGCCAATGCTGTCCCTTTCCCTTTTCTTGAGAACACATTAAGTATTATATTTTACAAGCATAACCCATTGTTTCCAAAACAATGCTACCATGTAGTCGTCCATGGCCCTCATAGAGGCCGATCCATGTTTCCATAATTTTTTCTTCTTCTGCGCCTTGCCATTTTTACCATAGTGCATTGTTGACGTGCATTGTTAAACCTGACGGCATTGTCCGTGTCATTATGCTTGTCGAAAAGGGTGCAACGGTACGCCGTTATAGGGAAGCAATACACGAGACCACAACGAAACGCCTCTCTCTCTCTCTCTCTCTCTCTCCATCTCTCTCCGTCTCTCTCCGTCTCTCTCCCTCGAGCCAAGGTTGCGCACACGCGCAGGTTGCATACTCACTGCTCAGATATTTTCCGTATGTTGCGGTGTGGCCAATTATGATTCTGCTTACTAAATTGTCGTATAATAACGACACCAAGTGCCACGATACTTTTCACTTAGGAGCGCAGTTGTCCGCTCAGCACTGGATGCGCCGAACGAGGCAAGCCTCAGGCGGTGTCAGATCGACAAGAGGCTCGGCGCCAGATCAGAGTGGACGACCCGGCCTCCAAGGAGCGGTGGATAGCGGCGAAGAGGAGAGCTGCCGACGTCGAGAGGAGAGCGACCCAGGCACTCTTCAGGACCTTCGTGGAGGACAACCTCAACCAGCCAGCCAGCCTGGGAAGGGTCACGAAGATCCTGAAGAAGTGGGAGGGAGCTGGAGACGAGCATCAGCCTGGACAGGCGATGAGAACGGGAGGCCGCCTTCTAGTCACTGACCGCGAGAAGGCGCAGGCGTTCTGCGCGACCTACGCACACGTCTCGCGCCAAGTAAGGTCAGCCAAGGTGGACCGAGCCTGCAAGAGGAGACTGCAAGAGCTCCGGACCCCACGCTGTCTCGCCTGCGAGAACCGTCGCACCGGCTGCTGCTCGGAGTTCACCGAGGACGAGCTCGTCCAACAGCTCCGTCACCTTCAGCAGAAGAAGGCACCCGGCCCGGACGGCGTCTCCAACGAACACCTCCAGCACCTGGGACCGATCGCCCGCCGCGCGCTGCTCGAGCTCATCAACGCCTCCTGGATGGAGGGAGCGGTCCCGCGCGAATGGCGCCGAGCTCGCATCGTCCCCATCCCGAAGGCCGGGAAGGACAGGCGGGATGTTGGCAGCTACCGCCCGATCGCCCTCACGAGCCACCTCAGCAAGCTCGTCGAGAGGCTGGTCCTGGGACGGCTGCGCCACATCGTGGAACGCGACCGGCTGGTCCCCGCCGAGCAAGTGGGGTTCCGCGCTGGACGGTCAGTGGAGGACAGCATCGGACGCCTGGTCCAACAAGTACAGGACGGCTGGAACCTCCCCAAGTCCCGCAGCAAGCGCGTGGCCGACGGCACCACCGCACAGAAATACGTCCTCCTGGGTTCTGCGACACCTGAGCGAGCGGCATTTCAGCGAACGACATTTGAGCGAAGCCTTTTCAGCGATTATCAATTTAAGCGATTGACTTTTTCAGCGATTGTCAAGTAGGCGAATTCAATCACAGCGATTATTAACTTAAGCGAGGACCAGAATCAGCGAAACCAGATTGAGCGAATATATGGAGGTCAATGGGGGACCAATTGAGCGAATACAGTTACAGCGAAACCGAACGCGACGGAAGTCAATTATTTGCTACTTTCCGGGAATTCTTGCCCTTGGAATACCCGCTTAGTATGTGTTATGCTTCAAGCTGCGCGCGACAAATTAAAAATTTGTTTTTAAGCTTGGAAACCACAAAAATATCTGGCCTCATTCTGCAACTTTGATCTGGAGATGTGGTACGTGAGAGATAGGACGACGGAAGGAATGCCAAGGACCAATAATAAACTCGAGGGATGGCACGGTCTATGTTTCAGGGACCTCACCCAAATATCTGAAAATTCGTACGTTGCTTGGGGAAAGAACAAATTTTTACGACATGGGACTGATCCAAATTCAAGCGGGGGAATTTCGCGAAAAACAGCACAAGCAATGTGAATCACTGGACAAACGTTTGGTCACCATTATTGGCAAACAGCAGGGGGGTGAAATCGAACCGCTGGATTTTTTTTAGAAGTGTGGCATTAAATTTGGAGCTTAATGTCTGAACTTTGAATGTGACATCCGCCATTCAGTTCCGGAGATAACCATGAAAAGTTCCGGAAACATTCGTTGGACGTGTGCTCGCAAAAAAAAAACACCGTTACGCGACGATGAAGTGTTTCGCTGAAATGACAGTCGCTCAAACTGTAGTCGACGAAATAGATGTCGCTGAAACATAGCTTTCGCTTAAATTGATAATCGCTATATTTGATAGTCGCTCAATTTGATATTCGCTAAGTTGCCAGTCGCTGAAAATGGTTCGCTCAAATGACGTTCGCTCAAATGACACTCGCTAAAGTCGCTCGCACCGGTCCTCCTGGCCTTCGACTTTGCGCGAGCCTATGACACCGTGGATCATCGCCTGCTGAGAGTCCGCCTGATGGAGATGGGGGTACCCAGGTGCCTCTACAACTGGACGTGGCAGTTCCTGCGCGACCGCCGAGCGACGGTGGAGTACCAGAGCGCCACCAGCGGCGAGCGGGTGTTCAGGGCGGGCCTGCCTCAGGGCAGCGTCCTGTCCCCGGCCCTGTTTTTGTTGTGGGCCGCCCCACTCGCCGCGGAACTGCAGAGAGTCCCAGGCACCACGGCGTTCCTCTACGCGGACGACACAGCCGCCCTCTGCGCCGGTAACGACATTCAGGTCGCCCGGCAACGAGCGCAGCAGGCTGCGGACACCCTCGCGCAGTGGGCCCAAGCCAACAAGATGACGGTGGCCGGCCAGAAGACACAGGCTCTAGTCCTGTCCCAGTGGCCCCGTGATGCGGCTAACTGCTCCGTGAAGGTGGCAGGGGAAACCGTAACCGCGGGAGATCAGCTGAAGCTGCTGGGAGTCACCCTGGACCGGCTACTTCACTTCAGCCCCCACTGCCGCAGCCTGAGACAGAGAGTCCGCCCAAGGACTGCCCATCTGAGGAAGCTGACCGGTCGGGAATGGGGCCTCCAAGAGCAGCAGCTCCGCGTCGTAGCCTCCGGCTACGTTCGAGGAGCCCTCGAACACGCCGCAGCAGCGTGGCTCCCGGCAACATCGCCAACCCACCTCGGTCTCCTAGAGGTGGAGATGCGCGCGGCCGCCAGAGTGGTGACCGGATGCCCCCGGTCCACCCCGGCACATGGCCTGATGGCGGAGGCGGGACTCGCCCCGGTGGCTGAGCGCCGCACGGCCTTAGCGGCGCGTCTGCTGGCCAAGGCGCGCGCCCTGCCGGAGGACGACCCGCTCCGTGCCGTCGCGGACCGAGAGGTTCGATCCCGCCTCAGCACAGTGACCGGCTGGCGTGGAGTCGGCGAGGAGGCCTGGAGGGAGGCGGGCATCACACCGCCGATCTCGATCGAGCCTCTACTCCCCCGACCAGCCGCGCCATGGGAGCCGCCCCCACCAGTCAGCTTCTGCCTCGACGTCGGTGCTGCACTACCACCGTCAGCAACCGACGAACAACGAAGAGACGCCGCGTCACACCACCTTGCGGGTCTCCCACAATGTGCCACGTGGGTCTGGACAGACGGTTCCGCCACGGAGGGGGTCACAAACGGAGGCGCCGGCGCCCTCATCGTGTGGCCGGACGACGAGACGGCGGAGATCCGCACACCGGCCGGCCGCATCTGCTCCAGCTACCGGGCCGAGATGGTCGCCCTGCGGGCGGCTCTCAACCACCTGCTGGAACACCCCGCGCATACGGAAGACCCCGTCGTCATATGCACGGACTCCCAGTCCGCACTAGCGGCGCTCCGAGAGGGGCCAGCGGCCCAGAGCTCCCCGCTCGGCTCCGAGATATGGGACGCCCTACGCCGGCTGACGACGGGTGGCCGCAGAATCCACCTCCAGTGGGTGCCATCCCACTGCGGCCTCGGCGGCAACGAGGAAGCCGATCGACTCGCGGGAGAGGCCGGCGCCCTCGACCAGGAGGACACCATGGTGGACGTCCGCACCATCCACCGCGCCGCAGCCAGGTCAGCGCGCGCCCGTACTGCCCAGGCCTGGCCGGCCGGGTGGTACAGAGACCTGATGGGCGGCCGACTCCCACCACCAGTATCGGGTGAGGACCGGTCGACCGCGGTGGATATCCACCAACTGAGAGCAGGCCACTGGTCCAGCTCCAACCAGTGGCGTCACAGAGTCGGGCTGGCGCCCTCCCGGCAGTGCGAGCAGTGTCCGGACCACAGCTGCCCTGCGGCCCGCTGCTTAGTATGCCGGGAGGAGGCAGACACCCCAAGGCACGTCCTGCTGCGCTGCCCGGCTCTAATCACTACAAGATTCAGACTGCTGGGATCCATACACCCCAGAGAGGAGGACGTCCGGAGCAGCGACATCATGGCGGCCATAGTGACCGCGTACAGGTCGCTCCTGAGCCGGACGGCTACGTCCCGCTAAGGGACGGAGGGAAATACAACAACAACAACAACAACAGGCAAGCCTCCGACCGACTCACTGATGACTGATAGTTCACTTCAGTTCTCACACATAAACGCCGGAGAAAGCAGAGATAAAAAACTATATTAGCTCGACAGTCCTACGAAAAGCGTGAGTGCTGTAGTGGCGTGATTGAGCCACTTCTTAAGTAAATACTGTCCTGCTAACCCGTAACAAGCACATCCACATAATATGCCTTCCCTTTAACAAGCGTCATGCAAAGGCACCTCTTTAGAAACATCGTAACATTATCTGCTTTAAGCTTAATAAAACAAGCTTCAGTTTGATTTGGTCCGTTAACAAGCAACATCAACAAGGAGCAGGCGTCGGTTTCAAAAACCATTACCCTGCGCACCGGAGGCGGAATATTGCCCTATCAATATCGCACAAATACTGAAGGCAGCCTCAACAACGTATTACACCAATAAATTAAATAATGTGTCCTGCAGTCGCTCGTTGAAGCTGTCAAAAGCAGCCAATTCGTTATTGCGTTACTGTTCCCATAAACCAGCCGTGGGTGGCCTAACTGCTGTGTCGACGATCCAGCACAGTGAGTCACAGCGCTGGTCACACGCCCCGTCAACATCTACGGCTGCCGTCCGTTCCAGCAAAACGGCGCCTCGGTAACTAAGCTCAGGGTGCACGGTGCCCGGTACCGACCGGATACGGAGCGGCGGACGTCCCGGCCTTTTACCGACCGCGGAACAACGGGTGCCCGGTGCCCAGCTGAGAGCAGTGCTTTGTGCAGGGTGTCAGACCAAACTGGCCGCCGCTAGTAAGTAGACACTGGCTAAAACACCGCGTCGAGAAAACACCGCACAGCACGCACCAAACCCTAGTCCAAAATCACCCGAGATCACCTCGGCATGAAACATTGCCCTTCAAACACTCCCACTACTTTACCCCCAAAACCCCTAAACTGGTCCCCACCGCGATAAAGCTGGCCGAGCGGCGGCCGTTCTAGACGGTACGTCACCCCGGCGGCCCGCACAGACGACTGACCGGTGACCTGTGCAGCTCCGGTGACCGCTGACCGGTGACCTGTGCAGCTCCGGTGGCCGCTGACCGGTGACCTGTGCAGCTCCGGTGGCCGCTGACCGGTGACCTGTGCAGCTCCGGTGGCCGCTGACCGGTGACCTGTGCAGCTCCAGTGGCCGCTGACCGGTGACCTGTGCAGCTCCAGTGGCCGCTGACCGGTGCAGCTCCAGTGGTCGCTGACCGCTGACCGCTGACCGGTGACCTGTGCAGCTCCAGTGACCGCTGATCGGTGACCTGTGCAGCTCCGGTGACCGCTGACCGCTGACCGGTCACTGCTCGGCCACCAGCTCAGCCTCCAGCGCCCGGTATCGCTCCAGCAGCGGCCCGTACACCTGAGGGAGACGGCGACCGGTCAGCATCGGCAAGTCAACACTGAACAGTGAACACTTCACAACCGTTAACCAACGGGCGTCTGTAATTACAAAGAGACCGCTGGACGTGCGATGGATGTTGATTAGGTACAGTTTATTTCGGAACACCAGGCATCGTTCGAATGTTATATATATATATATATATATATATATATATATATATATTAATTTATTCAATGTTAGAAGAGCAAAACATAACTAAATGAGCTCAATAGGCTCTCACCTGCTGGGCGTCCGGTCGGGGCTGACAGGCCAGATGGAACGGCTCGGCAGCAGCGGTGACCGTGTCAAAGGTGACGGCGTCGGTGTCCCCTGCGGCGGCGGCGGCCGAGCGGCAGCGGCCCAGCCGCGCCAGGTACGCCGCACCCAGACACGCCGAGTTGGCCACGTCCTGAGACAGAGCGGGTAGCACACACGGTCATTTCCCGAGACTGGACAGCGAACAGACACTATCCTTTCCCGCGCGCGGGCGGCCCGGTGCGCACACACCCGCTACGGACAGGGGGCAAGACGGGAGATACCTACACGGGAAGACGTCCGCATCTCAAGTTTTTGGCGATGTCAAACAAACGCAAATTAGTCGAGACCTAAACGACGATTTAGCTTAGTTTACTAGACGACTGGCCACCGAGGCCAAGAAGCCCAGTTCCAATGCGAGTTGAGCTCAACTCTGTCCAACTCACGTGCGTGTAGACCGGGGCGTTGAAGACGTCGGCCACCACCTGCCGGAGCGCCGGGTTCCGCGAGGCGCCGCCGGTCACCAGCACGCGACTCTCCTCACCTGAAGGGGGAGTCATTATTAAACACATGGCAGCATGGCTACCAGGAAGACCAACGGTAACCACAGTCCGATGCTCTGATGTTAAATCCATTACACTCAGAAGCCAAACCACTACCTCATGCTCTAATGAAACCCAATACCATTTGAATTCTGAAGCAAACCTACCACCACTGTGACAAATCGTGATTCATGACCCAACCGGGCTACCCCTCTCCGCCCCTCCACTCACCGAGCTGGAAGCCCAGGCTCTCGGCGTGTACGCGTTTGGCCATCAGCTGGCCCTCGACGACGGCGCGCACCTCGGTGTGTTTGTCAAACGCCTCCACCGCGGCGCCGCTGGCATCACGACGGTGGACACCGGAGCCGTGCGGCGTGATCTCCTGCTCCAGCCAGTACACACCTGACAGAGATAGACAAACAGACACACATACATCAAACGCTGGAGCCATGGGACGTGATCTGCTGCTCCAGCCAGTACACACCTGACAGACAGACAGACAGACATCAGTGAAACACCGGAGCCGTGCGGCGTGATCTTCTGCTCCAGCCAGTATACTCGTACGCCTAATACACACAAACATACGGCAGCTGTTTATCGATGGAGCTGCCGTGGACGTTACTTTATGTAGTAAGCTATCAATGCCTCGGACATGTGTAACTGAGCAATGCATAACACCATTACTGCTATACAAACAACGCCATGAGAAATAGTGACCAGTGTCCCAGACGTGCGATACTAGTTTTAGGCCTGCATGGACCGACTGTTACGGCACTAACCGATGCTGCCCAGGTTTCCCGGCGGTGCGGTGGACAGAAGCTGGTTGAACGTGTCCCACGATCCGCCAGCGCACTGATCCCGGTACTTCTGCCGCGTCAGAGAGCCGTTCTTGAAGCTGAAACAGGCAGAAACACGTTAGTAACGCAGCACAAGGCCTGCAGCACGACACTACCGCAAACAGGGTTGGGTAAACGGCTATCCACATCGATTAAGGTTAGCGATCGGATAACAATTCAGTTAGAGGTCAACGTCTTACCATTAAGTCGCCAAACAAACACTCACCCAAATATACAAAGACGGTGCCATCAATCATGACTGCTACATTCGGGTGCGTCAACTATGACCGCTTACAATCACGATCTCCACAGCTCAGTTTCAGCGACCGTCGCCAGTGCCACCCCTGAGCCCCGCCCTATTACGCGCGGTACTCACCAAAGCAGCGCCATGTACTTGTCGGCGTCAGTGGGGCTGACAAACACGTGCCCGGTGAGCGCGGGCCGCGGCCGCTCCAGACAGGCGAACACCGTGTCCGAGGTGCCCAGGCTGAGCGCCAGGTCGCCGGGCCGCAGCCGCAGGCCGGCCAGCGACGCCGGATTGTCGCCAGTGAAGGCCACCACGCCGCAGTCGGGTCGGAACCCGTACCGCTCCGCCCAGAACTCGCCAATGGGGCCGAGCAGGCGGCCGGCGTCCGGCACCGGCGCGCCCAGCCGGCTGCCCAGGCCCGGCGCGCACGCCTGAACGGAGAGACACGGTCAGATGGAACAGGGAGGACCCGGGATTGGATACGATCAGATGGAAATGGGGCAAACCGGTCAGGTAGGAAGTCGAAATGAGATGAGCAGCAAGCATTCGACAATCAACACGCAAATATAGATATTTAGGTATGCACAGATAGATAAAAATGTAAAACAAATCGATAGAACGATGTAGCACTGACAGTGAGGAGGCAGTGCGCAAATCAACCAATAAGTGCCCTCTCATTTATTAGTCATACGCACGATGTTGACATACCCGACATCCCATCTATAACTGTGCTGCGGGTTGACTGACGCTCCAGTCTAGTCTTGCCCCATCCGGCTGACCCGCTGTCCCGGCACTCACGTCCAGACAGTGCTGGTCCCAGGCGTGTTACGTCCAGACAGTGCTGGTCCCAGGCGTGTTACTCACGTCCAGGCAGTGCTGGTCCCAGGCGTGTTACTCACGTCCAGACAGTGCTGGTCCCAGGCGTGTTTGCCGATATCCAGCAGGTTCATCCCGGAGCCATCCGACAGGTCTATGCCGGCGTACTTGCAGAGGAACAGCGAAGCCCCGAAACTGCTCACCAGAGAGATACGCTGAAAGAGACAAGAACGGTGCGCAATGAATTGGGACTTATGCCGAATTCGGCGGTAAATGACGCTAGACACTTAAGACACTAGACAGGGACGCAATTGACACAAATAAGAGCATGATTGACAGCAATGGCCCTTGAATTAGGATTAATAATAAAAAGCGCGACAGAACTGACCCCACCATGTGTACGAAAAATATACAGAAACGTCTTCCACCGACCTCGGTATTTTTATAGGCCTCCGGGCTCTGCTGATGGATCTTGGCGATCTGATTACCGGTGAAACGCTCGTAAGCCCGCGAGCCAGTGATATCAGCCAGTTTCTGCAAAAGTCAGCCGCCCCCGGTCAGATACCAAGACAGCAGCAGCGGGACATGGGAGCTGCAGCGTGATCTGGCTAGCAAATATGGTACGTACGCTTGTAAACACAAGACTAAATTGATTAGAGAGCCGTCATCGGAAAAGTGAGCAAAAAAAAAAAAAAAAAAGCAGAACGTTACAAACGCAACGTATTCGTCTTAAGATGTAAGATCCACAAGACAAATAAAACAAATAAAGGGAAGACCCAGCTACTTCGGTGTACCCGGCACGCACCTGCGGTCCGCCGACGTACTGCTCCAGCGCGCGGCACTGCGCTGTGGTGCTCGAGTCCATCCAGATGGGTGAGTTACGCACACTGAACGCCGACTCCAGCTGCTGGTGCAGAAACTGGTCCGGCTCCAGGGAGCCGAGCGTGGCCTCGGCTCCGGCGCGCCACAGCACGCAGCCGTGCTGCTGCTCGAAAAAACGCACGGGGACACAGACTGTCACACTAATGTGAGCTAACAGACAGCCGTGTTGCTGCTCAGAAACATGAGGACACACAGCGAGCTGCCACACTGTGAGCTGACACACTATGAGCCGACAGACTGTCAGCTAGCGCACAGTCATGCCGCTGATCGGATACACAGGACAAAGCGGGCTGTCAGTCAGGCACAGCTTGCGGTCGGGTAATCACAGGAAATGCACTGGGCAGAAGCTTGGTAACCGAGCGTCAGTTGTGTCAGCTGATTTTAAGCCGACTGCTCGCTAAACGTCGGAGTTTGGTTGACAGTATCGCGCGATATCAATGCTGAACAGACTGTGATGGTGATGACAAAAAAGATTGTCCTGGGCCCTGTTTGGTCGCAGTTTTTTACCAGCAGGCTGCGAGCATGCTGCTATTTCTTGGCTCCTCATTGGTCAAAGTCACGTGGTCTCTTCATTTGACCATGGGAGGCCAAGAAGCGCCAGCAATAGCTTCCTTATATGAGAAAAACCGACAGCATGCTGATAAAAACAGCGACCGAGCAGAGCTCAGATCACGCACCTGGCCGGCGCCGGAGAGGGCGGCCACACGGGCAAAGTCCAGTCCGGCCACGCGCAGCTTGTCCATCAGCATGTCGAGCGCCTTGACCCACATGATGGCGGGCGCAGTGAACGTCAGCCCGTCGGCGCCGGCGTTCACACCGCCGTGCGTCCTGCAGAGGGGAGAGGGCCGAGGGGGGGGGGGGGAGTGTGTGTGTGTGTGTGGGGGGGGGATTTGGACTACAGAGAAAGCACAACAGAACAATTGATTCATCAATCACCATAGTAGTAAGCCAGAGGTGAACACCAAATAGGACTGGCCACACCAACAGCAATGCTAGCACAGTACATCAAGAGGATGGTCAATGGTCACAGCAGCATGCCTAAATAATGAAAGTCAGAGTGCATTGAAATTTGAAGTTGTGCCTATCCTTCACATGACTGAATGCTGACTTTAGCCAGTAGCAGATCAATCTGGCCAACCTGATGAAACTGACCAAGGCCACACAACTGTACAAAATGAGCCAAGTACCTGCAGCAAAGAGTAAAATGTCATTTATTTCGTATGAGAAGCATAGACTACAAATCAGATTTACAATATATCCATTACCCTGACACCACACCACATGCTATAACAGGTTCCAATCATCTTACCTGAATTCAGGAAGCTCCCTGTCAAACATAACTGAGGCCTCACAGATCACTTTCAGGTGGCAATCAATAGCTAAAGCCTTCAGCTGTAAAGAAACAATGGATCCAGGTCAGCACACACAAACTTAACATTCCAGAAGTATGTAATGAAGGTGCTAATTGTTAACAATCATAAACATATTGTATGCCAAATTCAAATACAAAATGGATATATTTTGCATGTGTCACCTGTTGAGTGCTGAAATCAAACCCAATATAGGCTGTATCTTCCTCCTCCCCAGCCATGGGTCCTGTGTTGGCAGCTGGAGTCTGTTCAGGGTGCTGCATCTCACCAGAATCAGCTGTCTACAGTGTAACACAGGCAGGCACATGGTAAACATTAGACAAAGTACATGTGGACTGACAATAGATGATGGGTATTCATAATTCAGGAGAGAGGAATGAAAGGTTAAAAAAAACAAATGATAATTTTGAGTTTTGACAAAAATACTAGTAAGTCTGTACTATTGGTTTTGATTAAGTCTGCTGACTGCTCACATATTTTTTTAAGGCCCCAGTGGTGCTGTTGGCTCACTCATTGTCCCACGGTACCGGAAGTTCCAGGTTTGATCCTCAGTTCTGTCTGCTCCACATGCATCATGCATCACCAGGAGTGGAGTAGGCTCCCACACTAGCCATAGCCCAGGGGAATGGGGAAGGACAATAGAAGGGAGCTCTCCTGTCAATAAGACAATATACCTCTTGGTAGCCTCTTGGAGGGAAGATTGAGATGAATAAAAAAGGCACAATTCTTATTTTCCTTACCTGTGCATACTTCTGTGGAGCCATGAACATATTGCATGGACCAATGTGGGCCAATACATAGGCAGGTACTGAATTACAGTGCTGGTGCACTGTGCAGCACTGCCACTGCTAGAGATGTTTAAGTATGCATACAAAAATTCAGAGAAAAAATCTTGCAATTTTTGGAGCAGCATTTCAAAATAACACTTATTTTGCACTTAGCAGCAGGTAGGTATATGTAGCTTTATGTTACTAAAGTAGCTACCTATGTCCTACGCAGTACCTGTCCTACGCGACCATCAATTAACCAGTGATTTTCTATACAGGGCAAAAAGTAAAGAGCAATGGGGGTGCCAGAAAACACATCAACTGCAAGAAAATTGATATTTTTTGTAATAACCCTGATCCTGTAAAAAATCACCCTGTACACTGACACACATGGCAGACTGGCTAATTCTTGCAAATTACTTACATCCATTTTGACACACCATCAGCTGAATCAGAATGCTAATTGGTTGAATCTTAAGTAGCCCAACAATCTCAATTTGGTCAATGAATCGACTAGGTATCGGTGATCACCGATACCTATGTTTTAGGGCCTTGGTGATCACCGACACCGTTCCTTGGAGACAAAATCTTTCGCCTCCGACCCTCAAAGGAGTACGGCTTCCAGTTCCACTTGCTTCTTAATATAATGTAGCTGAAAGACCCTATACAAAGAGGCCAGGGACTGGTTCAAAAAGTAGCACTGAAATGATTATTTATCCTGGGTCAGATTGAGATAATGCAATCGCTCACCATACAGCCATGATACAGCCGCCAACATGCAGAGCTGAGTCAATAAACAAGAAGGCGTGACCTTCATGTAAGACATGTTCAGAATATCCTGTGAGCGTTGTGTTTATGCTCAATAATTTGCAGTTGAGCCCGCTATGGTTCAGTGTATCCTGCGTACACTACCTGCTGATGATATTTTTGAACAAGTAATTAGAACATAAAAATGGTGTAGCTGAGACAAAACCAAAAAAGCTGTCAACCACTAAATAGAAATAGTCACGAAATAACTGTTTTGATATTGGAGTGAACTATTTTATATTTTAAATGTATTGTAACACACAATGTAATGTTCATGACATATTGAAAGGTCATGTGAGAAAACAGTTGTTTTGTGAATGATAAAGGAATGTTTGACCGAAAAATAAGCTGGAACTTAGAAAAGCATTATTCGGTTTCATCGTTTAGCTGGGGACAATTTCGGCGCAGCAGAACAAGTAGGGGGAGAGCACGACGTTCATAAAGTTGGCTTCAAATTCGGATTCGGATTCCAGCACCACATTCGTGGAAAAAATGACAAAAACGGACCCCTTAGAATCAATTTAAATTAACAGGGTAGATAGAGCAGGACATGCTCATTATGAAAATAAATCACCTAGGCTTGGCACCCCCTAAGAACTGAGGAATCTTAGGTCAAAGTTCAAGGTCATTCTCGGCGGACCCTTTGGATTCTCGTAAAAATTGGTACAACTATAGTCCATGAAGAGCTGATTTCAAAAATATCAGTTTCTTACTTTGGCAAGCAGCACGAACTGATATATAGTAGGTCAAAGGTCAGAATCAAGGTCACGTATGTGTAATACAGGAAGTGGAAGTGACCACGTGGCCAGGTGAGAAAGGAGTACCCCTTAGATTTCAATAACTTTTTGCTCAATGATGCAACCAATGTTGGAGATGCTACTGCTGGTTTTTCTTGTTTTGGCAAGGTCAAACTACGGAGAAATGACGGGTCAAAGGTCAAGGTCATTTTTAGCGGACCCTTTCGATTCACATATAAATTTTTATCCCAGTACAATTTTAAATGCTGGTTATTATTCTGCGTATTGTTAGGCTTGGCAGGTCTTAAATTATTTTAAAATATTTAAATAATTTTACCTTTAATTCATCTATCCCAACATGGCTACCGTGCGAGCACCTATCAAAACCTTGATGAAAATAACAAACCGAAAATCTGAGAAACGCGATTTGACCTTGGACTGCCCCGTGCAAGTGCACCGGCCTTAGGGGTGCTGAAGAACTTGATTTGGTAGGTATAGTGTGTTTTGGTGTGGGTTATTGTAATTTTAATGTATTGCACGTTGCCTGAATTGCGACACAACTTACAAAATTGAAATAGCAGTCGTAAGTAGTGTCAGTGTCGCAAGTTGACCTTGCCTTGGGGTATACCGAATAGGTCACAGGTCATTCGGGTCATTGCCTCAAAATTTACGTGGTACGTGTAAAATTCTTTGAACTTGAGATCCTGAAAATTTTGTTGCAGCCCGTTGATGCTAATGCAAGTTATAGAGCTTGAATTGACAGGTCGTCTATGAGGCCTCCATCCATGCCAGCGAGGCAGCAAGAGTGTTGAAAATGGTCCATAATATGCTATTTCACATTTATTGGGGTATTCAGGAATTGGAAGTAGCCTAACACCATTCCAGCAACTACTGGCGAATCCAGAAAGGCGGTCTTTGACGTTGCAAGGGTCATCCCCCCAAAATTCTCCCGATTCCAAAAACTTGTCCCAGATGACCCCCATGACCTCCAACGAGCTCTGCGATGACCCCAAGTTGACCTTTTTGACCTGACATGTCCCAGATGACCTCCGTGACCTCCAGTTAAGCTCTGATAACTCTAAGCTGACCTCTGTGACCTGGCATGTCCCAGATGACCTCCATCAGAGCTCTGTGATGACCCCAAGTTGACCTCTGTGACTTGACGTGTCCCATATGACCTCTGTGACCTCAAGTGACCTCTCTGATGACTCCAAGCTGATCTATGTGACCTGGCATGTCCCAGATGACCTCCAATTGAGGTCTCTGATAACCCCAATCTGACCTCTGTGACCTGACATGTCCCATATGACCTCTGTGACCTCTAAGTGACCTCCCTCATGACCCCAAGTTGACCTGTGTGACATGACGTGTCCCATATGACCTCTGCGACCTCTAAGTGATCTCTCTGATTACCCCAAGCTGACCTCTGTGACCTGACGTGTATCATATGACCTCTGTAACCTCTATGTGACCTCTATGCTGATCCCAAGTTGACCTCTGTGAGCTGATGTGTCCCAGATGACCCCCATGATCTCCATCAGAGCTCTGTGATGACCCCAAGTTGACCTCTGTGACTTGACGTGTCCCACATGACCTCTGTGACCTCAAGTGACCTCTCTGATGACTCCAAGCTGATCTATGTGACCTGACATGTCCCAGATGACCTCCAATTGAGGTCTCTGATAACCCCAAGCTGACCTCTGTGACCTGACATGTTCCATATGACCTCTGTGACCTCTAAGTGACCTCCCTCATGACCCCAAGTTGACCTGTGTGACATGACGTGTCCCATATGACCTCTGCGACCTCTAAGTGATCTCTCTGATTACCCCAAGCTGACCTCTGTGACCTGACGTGTCCAAGATGACCCCCATGACCTTCAATCGAGCTCTGTTATGACCCAGGTTGACCTCTGTGACTTGACATGTCCCAGATGACCTCCGTAACCTCCAATTGGGCTCTTTGATGACCCCAAGCTGACCTTTGTGACCTGACGTGTCCCAGATGACCCTCAATTGAGCTCTGTGATGACCCCAAGTTGACCTCTGTGACTTGACGTGTCCCATATGACCTCTGTGACATCAAGTGACCTCTCTGATGACTCCAAGCTGATCTCTGTGACCTGACATGTCCCAGATGACCTCCAATTGAGCTCTCTGATAACCCCAAGCTGACCTCTCTGACCTGACATGTCCCATATGACCTCTGTGACCTCTAAGTGACCTCCCTCATAACCCCAAGTTGACCTGTGTGACCTGACGTGTCCCAGATGACCTCCGTGACCTCCAATTGAACTCTGATGACTCCAAGCTGACCTCTGTGACCTGATATGTCCCAGATGACCTCCAATTGAGCTCTTTGATGATCCTAAGCTGACCTCTGTGACCTAACGTGTCCCAAATGACCCTCAGTTGAGCTCTGTGATGACCCCAAGTTGACCTCTGTGGCTTGACGTGTCCCATATGACCTCTGTGACATCAAGTGACCTCTCTGATGACTGCAAGCTGATCTCTGTGACCTGACATGTCCCAGATGACCTCCAATTGAGCTCTCTGATAACCCCAAGCTGACCTCTGTGACCTGATATGTCCCATATGACCTCTGTGACCTTTCAGTGACCTCCCTCATGACCCCAAGTTGACCTGTGTGACCTGACGTGTCCCAGATGACCTCCGTGACCTCCAATTGAGCTCTGATGACTCCAAGCTGATCTCTGTGACCTGATATGTCTTATATGACCTCTGTGACCTCAAGTGACCTCTCTGATGACTCCAAGCTGATCTCTGTGACCTGACATGTCCCAGATGACCTCCAATTGATGTATCTGATAGCCCCAAGCTGACCTCTGTGTTCTGACATGTCCCATATGACCTCTGTGACCTCTAAGTGACCTCCCCCATGACCCCAAGTTGACCTGTGTGACCTGACGTGTCCCATATGACCTCTGCGACCTCTAAGTGATCTCTCTGATTACCCCAAGCTGACCTCTGTGACATGACGTGTCCAAGATGACCCCCATGACCTTCAATCGAGCTCTGTGATGACCCAAGTTGACCTCTGTGACTTGACATGTCCCAGATGACCTCCGTAACCTCCAATTGGGCTCTTTGATGACCCCAAGCTGACCTCTGTGACCTGACGTGTCCCAGAAGGGCCCCAATTGAGCTCTGCGATGACCATAAGTTGACCTTTGTGACCTGACGTGTCCCATATGACCTCTGTGACCTCTAAATGACCTCTCTGATGACCCCAAGCTGACCTCTGTGACCTGACGTGTCCCAGATGACCCCCATGACCTTCAATCGAGCTCTGTGATGACCCAAGTTGACCTTTGTGACTTGACGTGTCCCAGATGACTTCCGTAACCTCCAATTGAGCTCTTTGATGATCTCAAGCTGACCTCTGTGACCTGACGTGTCCCAGAAGACCCCCAATTGAGCGCTGTGATGACCATAAGTTGACCTCTGTGACCTGACGTGCCCCCAAGTTGCCCTTTGTGACCGACGTGTCTCAGATGACCCCCATGACCTTCAATCGAGCTCTATGATGACCCCAACTTGACATCTGTGACCTGACGTGTCCCATATGACCTCTGTAGCCTCTACGTGACCTCTCTGATGACCCCTAAGCTGACCTCTGTGAGCTGACGTGTCCCAGATGACCCCCATGATCTCCAACAGAGCTCTGTGATGACCCCAAGTTGACCTCTGTTACCTGACGTGTCCCTGAAGACCTCCGTGACCTTCAATTGAGCTCTCTCATTACTCCGAGGTGACCTCTGTGACCTGACGTGTCCCAGATGAACTCCAATTGAGCTCTCTGCTAACCCCAAGTTGACCTCTGTGACCTGACGTGTCCCAGATGACCCTCAATTGAGCTCTGTGAAGACCCTAAGTTGACCTCTGTGACCTGACCTGCCCCCAAGTTGCCCTTTGTGACCGACGTGTCTCAGATTGCCTCCGTGGTCTCCAATTGAGTTCTGTGATGACCCCAAGTTGACCTGTGTGACTTAGCGTGTCCCGCATGACCTCTGTGACCTCTAAGTGACCTCTCTGATGACTCCAAGTTGACCTTTGGGACCTGACGTGTTCCAGATGACCCCCATGTCTCTCTCTCTCTCTCTCTTTCTCTCTCTCTCTCTTTCTCTCTCTCTCTCTCTCTCTCTCTCTCTCTCTCTCTCTCTCTCTCTCTTTCTCTTTCTCTTCACGTGCCGGTGTCGTGGATCCTATAGGCAAGTTTTGTACATACCAATGTTGATCCCCAGTCTCTGACCGGACATGTATTTTCCTTCCCGCAGGATGCCGGCGGCGGCGACGACAGTGTGCCGGCGCACATCTCTATGGAGGTGGACACGGCGACCCGTGGGCGACCGCCGCTGCCGCGGTTTGCTACAGGTGGCCATGGCCACTAATCTGTCACGAACTTCTGACAGTGAACGCCAGTCGGTTCTCGGATGTGAGGACGCGCCCGTCGAATAAAGTGACGGAGATGCACCGTGTGACAGTGTGCGTTTTCCGGGCGAGTTCGTTGCGCTGTGTGCCGGTCGTGCGCGGGACTGGTACCACCCGTCGTTCCACCAGTTCTCAGTGCTCCAGCGCGCCGTGCGCGATCTCAGTGCCGCCGCCGAGGAGAATGTGTGCCGCGAGCTGCCGCCCGAGGACCTGCCGGCGCTGACCCGGCTGGAGCCGCTGGCTGACGGCGCGCTGTCGCTTCGTCCTCCGACCCTGCGCCGGCCGCGCCGGGAGGCCGAACTGCTGACCCAGCTGCAGCAGCTGGCGGTGGCCCTGGACGGCGCCTGCCCCCTGGTGTTGGATGGCAGCTGCGGGAGCCACGTGACGCCGTCTGCGCTTTTGGCGCCAGGAGAGCTTGACGCTGCTGCGAGCACTACAGGGCTACTAGCGGTACGTCACGTGCTGCTAGTTTTCTAGAGACGGATGTTTGCTGATATTAGGCTGTTAAGACTGAGCCGTGATGCTGTGGCCGGTGGGAGTGCCGGCGCCGGTCGTGGTGCACCCGACGCCCGGCGCTCCGCTTCGCGCTGCTACCACACAGGTAGGGTTCGGCACACCGACTCCCGATGGCTACGTGGACAGTGAAAATATTGCAATGTTATGGTACAGGTAGAGTGACCGTTCCGTTCTTTGTCAGGTCTCTGAATGGAGCTGCGTTCCGGTGGGCGGCTGGCTGCGCTCTCTCGGTCTGGCCCAGTACGCCGTCGCGTTCGTCGCCCGCTCTGTGGATGGCGCCCGGCTTCTGGGGCTCACCGAACAGGCTATGGAAGACGAGCCCGACGTCGGTGAGAGATTCACATTGCTAGCTGAGAAGGTGGATGTGACTCGAATTATTCAGTTCATAGCCTGATTTATCTACCTTAATCTATTTATATGAATTGTATTGCCACCATTAACCTGACTCCTGACTCGTGATTGTGGTTGCCTCAGTTGTAGGCCTTAAGTGCACCGCATTTTGACAGGTCTCGACGTGGCGACCTCGAAGCCAGCGTGTTGGGTCTCGGCTTCCCGCCACTCACCGGCGGACCTTTCCGCTTCGTGGACCGCATCGGTCCCGCACAGCTAGTCAAGGACATGGAGCGCTTCGCCGTCGTCAGTGGCGTCGGCTTCGAGCCGTGCCTGACCGTGCACTACCAGGCCGCTAGCGGCACCAAGTTCTGTTCGGCCGGGCCTCGTGTAATGCCCACATGTGATGACCGAGTGTATACGCATCTGAAGCCGCTCCGCGTGTGTGCCAGCGCTGGGCGTGTTCAGTTTCAAAGTAAATATAGAACCCTGGTGATCAAGCTACAGTTTTTGACGGGAAATAGAGTGAGGTCATTTTGAAAGCGATCAGACGGTAGCGCCGCCGTTCTTTGGCACGCCTTAGCATGCATATGTGCTACACTAAAAGTTTAGGCTCGTGTCTTTCAAGGTCAGCAGGGTGAGGGCACCAGGTGCTTCAAGTGGCCTCGTCTCAGGTAGAGTTCTAATACTCGTTCTAATACTACCAAGTACCAACACACGTATCTAGTCAAGGAGCTGAGTTGAAATCGAGGGGATGGGGGGCTGTTCAGCCCCTTCACTGGGGGGTTCACGGTTCAGCCCCTCCCCCATCAGGCGCGAAAATCTAGGAGCCCCAGCGTGGAGTGAGATAACCTTTTCGACGGCATGTGATCGGGTATTGCATCGAATGACACTGGGCGATTGAAAGATGTTTCAGCTCGCTTGTCAAGGCAAACATTTATTCACAACGAAAACAGACATAGGCACATGTGGATTGCTAATGGATAATGGATAATGGCAGCAGGTAACACCCAGGTCGTGCGCCGTCTGCTGGAGAGCCAGCGGCTGGTGCGTCCTGAGCGGGGTCGCCACAGACGCCGCTCGTCACCCAGAAGCCGGAGACCGGCGGACCGGCCGGGACGCCTAACGACAGACACAACGACCGCTCATGGCGCTATGTAGCGGGCTACCAGTGAGAGGTCACGGAAAGGTCAGCTCATAATGTGCGCGGCGTGACATACAGTGTTAATGTCATCCCGCGGTCGCCGGACAGTGAAAAATTGGACAATGACATTTCGCCGTCAAGACGAGCTCTACTGTCTACAAGACACAAGTAGTCTACATACTGTCTGCTACCGAAACTACTGTCGAGCTTCTTACTGTTAGTAAGAAATTACACAGGTCTAGATGCAATTCCAGCGATGAACTTCGGTAGTGCATGGCTTTGCAATTTCAATCACAAGATATTCTTGTTCATCGTATTATCGGCATGGTACTCGCTCGTTATCACGCTTGCGTGGGCATACGGTAGCTCAAGGAAAATATGGATAATCGTAGAAGCCGGTATCAAGGGAATCCAGTGAGCACGAACACGCAGTACACGTGGGTGCTTTCTAGTTTCCTGGACGGTCACGCTTAGTGTAGCTAGCTCGGCCTTAAAAGATCATCACGGACACGGGGCTACGCGGCATTATATACCACCAGCAGACAGGATTTGATCTCCAGCAGACAAGCTTCTATCCGTGCCCCGCGCCGTCTCTCAACAATCGTCCACAGCCGCGGCTCCTGTGCACTGAGACGCTGTCACGACCGCGTCGTATTGCGACTGGAAGCAAGCCCACTGCCCGGTCTCTGCCGCGTCTCCCCGGCGGTTGGGACCTGTGCCGGGGGCGCCTCCTCCAACAGATTAGTGGCCATGGCCACCTGTAGCAAACCGCGGCAGCGGCGGTCGCCCACGGGTCGCCGTCCACCTCCATAGAGATGTGCGCCGGCGCACTGTCGTCGCCGCCGCCGGCATCCTAAGGGAAGGAAAAATACATGTCCGGTCAGAGACTTGGGATCAACACTGGTATGTACAAAATTTGCCTATAGGATCCGCGACACCGGCACGTGAAGAGAAAGAGAGAGAGAGAGAGAGAGAGAGAGAGAGAGAGAGAGAGAGAGAGAGAGAGAGAGAGAGAGAGACATGGGGGTCATCTGGGACGCGTCAGGTCACAAAGGTCAACTTGGAGTCATCAGAGAGGTCACTTAGAGGTCACAGAGGTCATATGGGACACGCCAAGTCACAGAGGTCAACTTGGGGTCATCACAGAACTCGATTGGAGACACGGAGGCAATCTGAGACACGTCGGTCACAAAGGGCAACTTGGGGGCACGTCAGGTCACAGAGGTCAACTTAGGGTCATCACAGAGCTCAATTAAGGGTCATCTGGGACACGTCAGGTCACAGAGGTCAACTTGGGGTTAGCGGAGAGCTCAATTGGAGTTCATCTGGGACATGTCAGGTCACAGAGGTCAGCTTGGAGTCATCAGAGCTCAAATAAAGGTCACGGAGGTCATCAGGGACACGTCAGGTAACAGAGGTCAACTTGGGGTCATCACAGAGCTCTGTTGGAGATCATGAGGGTCATCTGGGACACGTCAGCTCACAGAGGTCAGCTTGGGGGTCATCAGAGAGGTCACGTAGAGGTTACAGAGGTCATATGGGACACGTCAGGTCACAGATGTCAAGTTGGGGTCACCATAGAGCTCGATTGAAGGTCATGGGGGTCATCTGAGACACGTCGGTCACAATGGCAATTTGGGGGCACGTCAGGACACAGGGGTCAACTTATAGTCATCACAGAGCTCAATTGGGGGTCTTCTGGGACACGTCAGGTCACAGAGGTCAGCTTGGGATCATCAAAGAGCTCAATTGGAGGTTACGGAAGTCATCTGGGACACATCAAGTGACAGAGGTCAACTTCGGTCATCACAGAGCTTGATTGAAGGTCATGGGGGTCACCTGGGACACGTCAGGTCACAGAGGTCAGCTTGGGGTCATCAGAGAAGTCACTTAGAGGTCACAGAGGTCATATGGGACACGTCAGGTCACATAGGTCAGCTTCGAGTTATCATAGAGCTGGATTGAAGGTCATGGGGGTCATCTTGGACACGTCAGGTCACAGAGGTCAACTTGGAGTCATCAGAGAAGTCACTTAGAGGTCACAGAGGTCATATGGGACATGTCAGGTCACAGACGTCAACTTTAGGTTATCAGAGAGCTCACTTGGAGGTCATCTGGGACACCTAAGGTCACAGAGGTCAGATTGGAGTCATCAGAGAGCTCAATTGGAGGTCACTGAGGTCATCTGGGACACGTCAGGTAACCAAGGTCAACTTGGGGTCATCACAGAGCTCTGTTGGAGATCATGGGGGTCATCTGGGACACGTCAGCTCACAGAGGTCAGCTTAGGGGTCATCAGAGAGGTCACGTAGAGGCTACAGAGGTCATATGGGACACGTCAGGTCACAGATGTCAAGTTGGGGTCATCATAGAGCTCGATTGAAGGTCATGGGGGTCATCTGAGACACGTCGGTCACAAAGGGCAACTTGGGGGGCACGTCAGGTCACAGAGGTCAACTTATGGTCATCACAGCGCTCAATTGGGGGTCTTCTGGGACACGTCAGGTCACAGAGGTCAGCTTGGGATCATCAAAGAGCTCAATTGGAGGTTACGGAAGTCATCTGGGACACGTCAATTCACAAAGGTCAACTTTGGTCATCACAGAGCTGGATTGAAGGTCATGGTGGTCATCTGGGACACGCCAGGTCACAGAGGTCAGCTTGGGGTCATCAGAGAGGTCATTTAGAGGTCACAGAGGTCATATGGGACACGACAGGTCACAAAGGTCAACATATGGTCATCGCAGAGCTCAATTGGGGCCCTTCTGGGACACGTCAGGTCACAGAGGTCAGCTTGGGGTCATCAAAGAGCCCAATTGGAGGTTACGGAGGTCATCTGGGACATGTCAAGTCACAGAGGTCAACTTGGGTCATCACAGAGCTCGATTGAAGGTCATGGGGGTCATCTTGGACACGTCAGGTCACAGAGGTCAGCTTGGGGTAATCAGAGAGATCACTTAGAGGTCGCAGAGGTCATATGGGACACGTCAGGTCAAACAGGTCAACTTGGGGTCATGAGGGAGGTCACTTAGAGGTCACAGAGGTCATATGGGACACGTCAAGTCACAGAGGTCAACTTGGGGTCATCACAGAGCTCAACTGAGGGTCATCTGGGACACGTCAGGTCACAGAGGTCAGCTTAGGATCATCAAAGAGCTCAATTGGAGGTCATCTGGGACATATCAGGTCACAGAGGTCAGCTTGGAGTCATCAGAGCTCAATTGGAGGTCACGGAGGTCATCTGGGACACGTCAGGTCACAGAGGTCAGCTTAAGGTCATCAGAGAGGTCACTTAGAGGTCGCAGAGGTCATATGGGACACGGCAGGTCACAGAGATCAAATTGGGGGTCATCAGTGAACTCAATTGGAGGTCATCTGGGACATATCAGGTCACAGAGATCAGCTTGGAGTCATCAGAGCTCAATTGGAGGTCACGGAGGTCATCTGGGACACGTCAGGTCATACAGGTCAACTTGGGGTCATGAGGGAGGTCACTTAAAGGTCACAGAGGCAATATGGGACATGTCAGGTCACAGAGGTCAGCTTGGAGTCATCAGAGAGGTCACTTGAGGTCACAGAGGTCATATGGGACACGTCAAGTCACAGAGGTCAACTTGGGGTCATCACAGAGCTCTGATGGAGGTCATCTGGGACATGCCAGGTCACAGAGGTCAGCTTAGAGTTATCAGAGCTAAACTGGAGGTCACGGAGGTCATCTGGGACATGTCAGGTCAAAAAGGTCAACTTGGGGTCATCGCAGAGCTCGTTGGAGGTCATGGGGGTCATCTGGGACACGTTTTTGGAATCAGGAGAATTTTGGGGGGATGACCCTTGCAACGTCCAAGACCGCCTTTCTGGATTCGCCAGTAGTTGCTGGAATGGTGTTAGGCTACTTCCAATTCCTGAATACCCCAATAAATGTGAAATAGCATATTATAGACCATTTTCAACACTCTTGCTGCCTCGCTGGCATGGATGGAGGCCTCATAGACGACCTGTCAGTTCAAGCTCTATAACTTGCATTAGCATCAACGGGCTGCAACAAAATTTTCAGGATCTCAAGTTCAAACAATTTTACACGTACCACGTAAATTTTGAGGCAATGACCCGAATGACCTGTGACCTATTCGGTATACCCCAAGGCAAGGTCAACTTGCGGTATTAGTACCCAGTAAACATGCCGACGTCGGCCCGACGTCGGCCGACGTCGGGGTGACGTCGGCAACTCGGCATCGGCATGCCGACGTCGGCCCGACGTCGGTCCAACCTCGGCACGACGTCGGCTGGATGTCGGATATGCCCGCATGTTCCGACGTCCAGCCGAGGTCCAGCCGACGTCGGGCCGACGTCGGACCGAGATCAATTGCTGAGGTCCAGCCGACGTCGGGCCGACGTCGGGGCGACGTCGGACCGACATCGGCCGCTGTTTTGACCGTTAAAATAATATAAAATACATGTTTCATGTTTCATAAAGAGCTTCTGTATTCAAAATATCCTCAAGAAACTCAAATCTTCCTCCACGCCGCAACCCCCTGATCCGGACTGGACGGGAAACTTTATCCCAGTTGGGATTGCCCGTAAGCCGAGCTCGCCCGTATCCGGGTGCGGTGAGTGCTTGGGGGCTGCTCGGCCTATCCTTTGGTCAGGCTCAGCCCCGGCAACTCACCAGGGCCGGGCCCAGTTCATATAGAAAGGCCAGTCGGCAAGTGTCACTTTGCCAAAGTGCCACTTATCAAAGGGACACTTTGGGAAACGTTGGTGCAGGTGTGTAAGAGTGGCTATATGAATCCATTGCGGGGTCGCCCTTTCCAATAAGTGTCACGTAACAGCAATGGGACCAAGGACTCTATATGAACTGGACCCAGGGTGCTCACCAAGAAGACCAATGTCTCCATCCTATCATCCTTCCGGCTCTGAAATGGTCTTGCCAGACCGAAAGGGCATAACCCAACAAAACAAACTAAATTCGCTATCTGGCTGCGTGGTGTAGTGGTTAGCGCACTAACCTCGCGTTCAAATGACACGTGGTTCGAATCCCATCGCCGGCTGATGCTTTTGGCGTGTTGTCCCAGTAAACATGCCGACGTCGGCGACTGGGGGGCTCGAATCCCGCCGCCGGTTGATATTTTTGGCGCGTTGTCCCAATAAACATGCCGACGTCGGCCCCGTCGGTCCAACGACAAACGATCTCGTCAACCTCGGCAAACGACCTCGGCCCGACGTCGGCTCGACGTCGGCTGGACTTCGGCTGGACGTCGGAACATGCGGGCATATCCGACGTCCAGCCGATGTCGGGCCGAGGTTGAACCGACGTTGGGCCGACATCGGGCCGAGCCTCGGCCCGACGTCGGGCCGACGTCGGCATGTTTACTGGGTATATATTAGGTCCGAGTGGACAATTGTGACGCTGTTGATACAAATATGTAACAGCAAAAATTTTAGGTTTTAGGTTAGGTTAGGTTGTAGGTTTGTAGGTTTTAGGTTTTAGGTTGTAGGTTTGTAGGTTAGGTTAGGTTAGGTTGTAGGTTTGTAGGTTGTAGGTTGGTAGGTTGTAGGTAAGTAGGTAAGGTTAGGTCAGGTTTGATTATGTTTTTCTTTTATTTCCAGGACATATAAGTATCATTTTTGGATTCAGGATGTCAAATAATGTAAGAATATGAAAACTTTATCTTTTAACAGTCACTCGGACTTAATGTATACTTTTACCCAACTTGCGACACTGACACTACTTACGACTGCTATTTCAATTTTGTAAGTTGTGTCGCAAATCAGGCAACGTGCAATACATTAAAATTACAATAACCCACACCAAAACACACTATACCTACCAAATCAAGTTCTTCAGCACCCCTAAGGCCAGTGCACTGGCACGGGGCACGTCCAAGGTCAAATCGCGTTTCTCAGATTTTCGGTTTGTTATTTTCATCAAGGTTTTGATAGGTGCTCGCACGGTAGCCATGTTGGGATAGGTGAATTAAAGGTTAAATTATTTAAATATTTTAAAATAATTTAAGACCTGCCAAGCCTAACAATACGCAGAATAATAACCAGCATTTAAAATTGTACTGGGATAAAAATTTATATGTGAATCGAAAGGGTCCGCTAAAAATGACCTTGACCTTTGACCCGTCATTTCTCCGTAGTTTGACCTTGCCAAAACAAGAAAAACCAGCAGTAGTATCTCCAACATTGGTTGCATCATTGAGCAAAAAATTATTGAAATCTAAGGGGTCCTCCTTTCTCACCTGGCCACGTGGTCACTTCCACTTCTTGTATTACACATACGTGACCTTGATTCTGACCTTTGACCTACTATATATCAGTTTGTGCTGCTTGCCAAAGTAAGAAACTGATATTTTTGAAATCAGCTCTTCATGGACTATAGTTGTACCAATTTTTACGAGAATCCAAAGGGTCCGCCGAGAATGACCTTGAACTTTGACCTAAGATTCCTCAGTTCTTAGGGGGTGCCAAGCCTAGGTGATTTATTTTCATATATCGGGGTTACATGAGCACAGTAAATACGTATTTAGCCGCTAATTCGAATTAGGAACGCATTACCGACTCATGTAGCCACCTGCTAGTACGAATCGGCGATCCGATCCGCGGTTACATGAGCAAAGCAAATACGTATCACGATCGGATTCACCGCTAATGCGAATCAGGAGCGTACTACCGACTCATGTATCCACCTGCTAATACGAATCGGCGGTCCGAACAAAATCCGCTGGGAAAGAGGCTTAGAAGCGAATAGGACCAAGATACGTATTACAGGAACTATTTCTTCGCAAAAAGAAACATTAAAATGCAAAATAATAGGTATTTTTTTCATTTTCTTCTTTTGAAATAATATTTAAAAAATATTTCGGTATTTCGTCAAGCTTTCAACAATAAATATAATGAAAACCAAATAGTAAGTATCCACATAATTTCAGTTGAAACATTTTTCTGACAGCACTACAGACGAATCAAGAGAGGCAATTGCCCAATGAGTCAAAGCAAGACAACTTTATGTTCAACTTTTTTTTGTTAAGTTAATTGAGAATGTTTTGAGCAGATTAAATGCAAAAAAGACATAAGATAATTAATTTTTAATTTAGTCACCTCTATTGCTACGGAAGTGCGCCACATTTGTATGCTATTCCGTTTGTAATGCGCATCGGGCCGAGAGCCAAACTAGATCCGTTTGACGTCACTGATACGAATTTGCTCATGTAGTCGGTGCACTGAATGCGTTCTTGGGGAGCTGATCCGAATTAGCGTAGTGCGTATTTGGAACGGCTCGCTCATGTAACCGAAACGTCCGAGGAACATGATTCGGGCCGTATTTCACAAGAACTATTCTTTGCTGACTGGAAGCGTCAAAATGCAAAATACTAAGCATTTTTTTTTATTGGCTGCCTCGTAGAAAATAGCAAAAAAATGTTGGTATTTTGGTTTAGTCTTTGCATGTGAAATAAAATGAATGAAATATTTTGATAGATAATTTTTCTGACCACCCTGCTGTCGCTGCATGGCGAATCAGTGCACAGTGACTTAAAACAAGAAAACTTTGTTTTCATTTTTTGATTTCATGCTAATTTTAAATGTTTTCGAGCCTATCAATTGATATAAGTATTTAAAATTTAGTTCAGTCGTCCCGGTAAATGCCGCAACTGCGCCATGACTGTACGCTAATCCTATTCCGTTTGTGATGCGAATTATCGGCCGTCGAGGAGTCAGCCCGGGTGAGCCAAACAAGATCCGTTTGACGTAGATAAAACGAATTAGTATCATGTAACCGGTGCCGTAGATACGTTTGTGGGGAGCTGATGCGCATTAGCGTAGTGCGTATTTGGAACGGATCGCTCATGTAACCCCGGTAATTATGAGCATGTCCTGCTCTATCTACCCTGTTAATTTAAATTGATTCTGAGGGGTCCGTTTTTGTCATTTTTTCCACGAATATGGTGCTGGAATCCGAATCCGAATTTGAAGCCAACTTTATGAACGTGAGAGCACGGGCAAGAGATATAGGGCCTTGGGCAAGAGCACGGGGGAGAAGAGAGGTATGTCGTGTCGATTCTAATTATTTTTGTTTCATAGCCCTGATGCAGTTTTGTTATTGCGAAAGTTAAGAAATATTATATTGATATAGTTGTAAAACCAAGAATTGCAAGTATCTCTGCAGGGTTTCAATTCAATTCATTTGCACTGGGAGTTCAAGTTAAAATCTCCCAGTGCATAATGTGCATAATCTCCCATATAAATGAAAAGCAGAATGTGGTCGTGGATGGTTTTGGTTAATTTCTTCAATTATTTGTGAATGTCAATTTGTATGTTGATTCTTATTCAAGCTGATCTAAGCATGTAATTTTATTTATTTCATTTCCAGAGAGCCATTGCACCAGTCTGTTCATCTTAACACACTGATGAGGTTCCCCTTGAGGTGGTTGCTGTTTTTTGCTGTGGTCCGCAGAGGCGGCTGACATCTCAAACAGCAACTCAGAAAACATGGATTTGGAAAAAGCAACAAAAAACAGCAACTCGCTCAAAACAGCAGCCGCGCTTAGAGCGACCTTTTAGAATAGCGACTCACATTTTTGAGCGCTTGAAAGGACAATCGGTAAAATCTTGATCTGTAATACCTAGAGCGACTTCAGAGGAACAGCGAAGCGACTTTTCTAGGCTATGGTGATTGGAGAAGCAAAAATCGAAGATTTCTTACGAAGCATAATAATATTTTTATATAAAATGTGCTTGTTTTGCATCATTGTTTATGTACTAAAAAATCAGTTTGGAGTCCATATCAAACTAAATTTCCTAACATCCTACTTGCAGGTTCGTTTCACTGTTCCATCATTTCCATCCTCACTTCTCAGGGCTCAGGACATTCAAGTCCTTCTCCTCCGACCTCCACACCTCAGCCCCATGTTCCGGGCTGGATGGGCAGCTTTATCCCATGCGGAAATGCCTGTAAGTGTGCGCCCGATGAGTGCTTCGGGGGACTGGTGAGTGGTCGGTCTGTCCTCTGGACGGGCCCAGCCCCGCCAACTCACCAGTGTGCTGGCCCAGGCCAATGTCTCCTCCTAATTCCTATCATCCTTCCGGCCCTGAAATGGCTCATCAGATCGAAAGGGCCTAACCCAGCAAAACTGGTTCGTTTCAACTCAGTCGTTAATTCGTTTCGATGATGATAAGTGGTTTTTCGTTGACGTCGTTGATCGGGACAAATTGATTGCTAAGTTTCCTCCGATTGCGCTGGGATATCTGAGAATGTCAAGATGTTGATGTCCTTGCTTTTCCAATCCCCATCAGCTTAGAATAGTCTGTTACTCTGAAGCTGCTGTATTACGGATCGCCGTTTTAGAATTGCTCAAGCGTGATAGTCGCTCTTCTAGAGGTCGCTCAAAAAGTGATCGCTGTTTTTCTGTCGCTGTTTTTAAGTCGCTGTTTTCTGAGTCGCTGTTTGACACGCAGAGGCACCCCAAGTCTGCAAAGCATGGCAAGCTAGACAATTTTTTTTTTTTAGGTTTGTATTGTAGTCAGGCAGCAACTGCAGATTTTGCATGGAGTGGTGCAGGCTGTGGGGTGATTTGGTTTTTACAGCATTGGCTGGTACCACCATGTGAAACTGCTCTGTTGGCTTACCAATTTCTGAAATTAGGTGCCTACATGATATTAACACTGTATGTGCTTCCAATTCTCTTTTTCTTTACATTTATGAATGGAAATGAAATTCCAGCAGCATATCATGGCGACACTGTTACTTCCAATGTAAACTAGTTTACATCATTTTGTTATTTATCTGTGAGACCATTGATAAAGTGTTTCATTGTAGGTATCAAATATAAGTGTATGTTCTTCATTGGCCTTTTTCTTGTATTTACAGATACCACTAGATATTATATCATCCGGTCTAGAGATGTCCAAGCGAAAATCCTTGGCACGATTAGCACTTGAAAGGTCCCAGTGCAGCCAAGAAGCCGCAGAAGAGCCCCTGCACCGCTCGTCGTCAAACGCCCGGCCGCTGAGCCAGCTGGCTGTGGTCGAGGGTGTGCGGGGAGACAGCGGCGCTGAACGGGCCGCCGATCGGCAGCCGCTGCCACCCTCCGGCGCCAGCAATGGAGCGGCGCCGCAGCGGCACCTCGCAGTCATCCGGCGGCGGCCGGCCAGGAGCAGTGGGGAACAACGCATACAGCCGGGTCCCGCAGCTGCGGCGGCCACCCACAACAGCCGGCACTCCTACCCGTCCGCAGCGGGCCAGCACAGTCACAGCCGAGTGGGGCCTCCTGCCGGCGACAGTCGACCTCAGAGGCCGGCCAGGGAGCGTCTGCAGCGGTCGGCGGCGGAGCGGAGTCCGCTGGTGGACGTCGGCAGTCCGCCGTCGGCCGTCGGCAGTCCGCCGGTGGCCGTCGGCAGTCCGCCGGCGCTGTCGCTCAGTCCGCCCGTGGACTCGGACGGGCCCGCCGCGCCGTGCGCCGAGAACGGTCGGCCGTGCGTCTCGCCGTCGGCGAGCAGCGGCTCGTCGGCCGGCAGCGGCGACGGCAGCCAGTCGGGTCTGCTCACTGCACGCGCCATGCACCATGCACACTCGACCAACGACCTGCAGGGCCGGCCGGCGGACAGCAGTCCCGGCCCGGCCTGTTGCGAGCCCATGAACGCCGGACACAGAGCCAGGTGGGTGAACTGCGTCGGGCTGCCGGCCGCAGACAGTTCTTTGTGTCGAGTATAAATACGTAAGTGAAGAATTGAGCTACAAAGCGATTTGTCGCAGTATCGGCCGAGCTCGTGGTTGATCGATGATTATGTCGTTAGATGAATGCATCGTTTTTATGACTTAGGAGGTTTTGTGTTCTATTTTAAAATTTTGTTGAGCTGTCACTGACCTTAATGTTTTTATTATGCGGTCATATCAAATACGATTAGTTAGCTTTCTCTCCCCTTCATCATTTCTCGTCAAACACCGCTCTAAAGATGTGTTCTGTTGGTTGGCGCTGGTTCTCGCGGTGACGCCTCTCCGTTTGTGTCAGGTCGTTCCCGACCGGGCTGGCGGGCAGCGTGGAGACGCTGAGCAGCTGCTCGGAGCCGTCTGCCGGCAGTCCGCTCAGCGGCATCACCGTTCAAAAGGCCCGCAGCAGGTGGGTGCCGCGCACACCGCCGCACGCTGTCACCAATGCGAGTGAGCGGTAATCTCAGAGCGGATGGCCCGACGGAAGGAGTTGTAAGATGGTTTCTGAGATTGTCATCGAAAACTGCTCCATTCGTTCGTTTCGTTCGTTCGCTCGTTTGATCTTTCGTCGAACCGTTCGTTCGTCTGTGCGGGTTCTCTTTCGTTCATTTTCATAATTATATCCATGGCACCAAAACTCATGAGTTTTGAAAATACCTACGCGTTACACAGCTGTTTGAATTTACATTTACATGTTATTTACTGCAGCCGCTGACTTGTCCTTGACATGTGCTGACGGCGACAGGGGCTACCTGGTGAACCAGACGGGCAGCGCGCTGCTGCTCTCTGCCGAGGAGCTGGACGCCAGCCTGCCACAGAGACAGCTGCACGTGCTGGTCGGCACGTGGAACATGAACGCCAAGGTCAGTCGAGAGAAATAGAGCCCTTAATGACGGAGCTCTGGTCTGAATTGAAGCTGGTGTTGTGTCTGCTGCCACGCAGATCCAATATCTAACGTATATTGATGGCATTGTGCTGCAGACTGCAGAAGTTGAACGTTGTTTTGCATTGAATGTGGTGCTCCATTCTCAACATAACCGGTTAGTGTGCAGTGTCGTCGCCTGGTCGATGAGCTCTGGGACCCTCGTTTATTTTGTTTGTGTACTCGGGGGCTGTTTCCATTGTGCCGAATGGACTTCTGGCCTTATTTTTCCACACCGCAACCGCAGCTGGGGAATCGAACAAACACTCGCTGAGTCTGCGGTGTGCGGTGGACGATCGATAGACGCATATGGTCGACGGCGATCACGCTGCATATTGCAGACTGCATAGTCGGTGACGCTTTGTATGCAAATTGCAAACCTGTGTGTGATTGAAGCTCAGTCGATTGGCCTTGACCGGCTTGACTAGACGTTGTCCATCCTCATAGTTTCTCCTTCTTTGTCCGCTACCATATTTGCATCTGTACTTGTGAGACCGTCCGTCTGGCTGTCCTTACATCCGGCTGTCTGTTCGTCCGTCCGTCCAACCGTCAATGGGTCTGTCCATTCATCCGTCCATCTGTTCCTCCGCCGATCAGAAAGTTTTGGTTACTGACCGAAAACCTGGGGGTACGGACACCGAGCTTTGGACTTTCGGCCGGCCGGTTGGTCGGCCGCCTATCCTCCATGTCGTCAGTCGCCCGTGACACAGCGTCCTCGACCCCCGTCAGGAGCCGCCGGCTTCTCTGGACGACCTGGTGCTGCCCGACTCGCTGGCGTTCGTGCCCGACCTGGTGGCACTGGGCACGCAGGAGTCGCACGCCGACCACCGCGGCCTGCTGGTGAGGCTGCAGTCCACGCTCGGCCCCAGCCACGTGCTCTTCCACTCGGCATCGCTGGGGACGCTGCACATCTGCGTCTTCATCCGGCGCGACCTCGTCTGGTACTGCTCAGGTGGGAGATTTGACTGAGTCCATCAGTGACGTGACTGGGGAGAATATGTGATTGAGGCTATCGGAGTCGTGTACATTTTTCAAGACTTAAACTTTTGCTATGAAACGATAAGCGCACTCGAAGGTGCATTTAGACGAAGAACGTGATTCCTTTTTATATTAATGTGTTGATCAATGTAATGTATTTCTTATAGCTACGAGCCATGCCGGTTACTTTTATTTGCTCCGTTTAACAGGCACTATTATCAGTTTATCTTCCCCGGCATCAACCGTCAACCGGCTGTACCTCTGAACCAAATGATGACCTTTGCCTCTCTGTAGTTCCAGAAGAGGCGAGCTACAGCATACGGCAGCCTACGGCCATCAAGACAAAAGGATGCGTCGCCGTCGGGTTCCAGTTTTTCGGTGAGTTGTTTACAGAACAGTGCTTTGTGTAACATAATGACATGCTGGGTCACGTACCTCTACGTATTTCAAAATTGTTTTAGAGGTCTACATATGGGTGATAACTTTGTTTCGTAACTAAACAATTGAATATCACATCTATGTATCTTCTGTCCCCTTTTCTCCGTGTGTGGGTTTATGACCTGTGCTCACCACCACGTCCCTACGCCGCTGCCTCGGTATGTGACCGCCGACCCCTCCGGCGCCCGCAGGGACCACCTTCCTACTGCTCACCTGCCACCTGACTGCCCACCTGGAGAAGCAGAACCAGCGGATAGACGACGTGCGCCGCATCTGCGCCGCGCTCGACCTGCCCCAGGCCATCCCCAGCCGCAGCAGCAGCAGAGGTGGGCACCGGCGGGCCGCCACCGGCTGTAGGGATACGACAGGCCGTACTGGGGGCAGTAGCGGGTAGGACTGCATTTTTGATATTGCGAAGTCTTTTTATATGCGCGTTAAAAGTTTTTCGAAGGTCATATTTCCCGTAGCGCTTGCATAGCACAGCTAGCTTCAACGTCACATTTATCGACGCAAATCCAGTTCAGTGCTTCTTCATTCATAAATCTAACCGACCATGGGTCATAACCTATGCCCCTCGTCCCCCGTCTTCCCACAGACGTGACGGAGCGGTACGACAACGTATTCTGGTTCGGCGACCTCAACTTCCGCCTGCACCAGAGCCGGCCGCGCGTCATCGACACCATCGTCGAGAGCTCCAGCACAATCCTGCTCCGCGAGCGAACCATGTCCGAGGCGTGTATGCGCAGTCTGCTCGAGTGGGACCAGCTCAACCACGCCAAACACAAAGGTGCGCACTCGCCGTGGTGAGGGAGGATGGGATTTGATCTGGGAAGTCTCTCCGATCGGGGAGCACACTCCGAGCAAAGGCCGAAGTGTCTTGTTTGATGGGAAGTCTAATTTTACTCTGGAGTCGTCTAGATTGTGAAGGAAAAATAATGCCGTCATCGTTAACCCAAATTATGGCTGGTAGTGATCTATCTTATAGTATCATCTTTTATCGCCGGAATCTGATATTCGTATTGAGTGACGCCGCCCCCCGGTCGACAGGTCGGGCTTTCGAGGGCTTCAACGAAGGCGACATCTCGTTCCTGCCCACCTACAAGTACGACCCGGGAACGAACACGTTCGACACGTCACACAAGCAACGCATCCCCGCCTACACGGACCGGATCCTGTTCAAAAGCCGGCGCGACGGCGTGCGGTGAGCACAATACCGGTCACGGCGGTAGATGGGATGTCACAATAGTGAACGGCCGTTTGGGTTGTGTGAGAGCTAGGGATCGCCAGTGGGCTCTGCTGAATATGTGTGATAGAAGACAGCTTCTTTGATGACTGGTAACATAACCAGGCTTCCCGCTGCTATACTATTCCCGCTGCAGCCTATGCTATACCCCGCCGCACTGTGTTAGTTTTGCACTATTTCAAGCACGAGGTGTCCCCTCACCGTTCATTCACATCGATTTTTCAGTTGAATCAGGCTCTAACCTCCCTTCTTGTCCCGTTTCACAGGTGCATCAAGTACGATTCTGTTCAGCCGTTCAGTACGTCGGATCACAAGCCTGTGTGGGGGCTGTACCAGTGTCGGATACGGCCTAGTCTCGACAGGTGAGACAGATGATAGGACAAATTGAAGGTATTGAGAGATTACAAACCCGTCTGGTGGCTGTACCAGTGTCGGATACGGCCTAGCCTCTAGAGGTGAAGCAGTACGTGAGGAAGGACGAGAGATTAGATTAAACATGAACCAGTCTGGGGACTGTACTGTCCAGTGCTGTCAGTACTGAATGCTGTTTGGGCAAGTTTTTTTTTGTTTTTTGTTTTGTTTTGTTGGGTTAGGCCCTTTCGGTCCAATTAAGACCATTTCAGAGCCGGGAGGATAATAGGATATAGGGGGAGACATTGGTCTGGGCAGGCACCCTAGTGAGTCGCCGGGGCTGAGCCCATCCAGAGGACAGGCCACCCAGTCCCAAGGCACTCACTGCACCCGGCTACGGGGTGCGCTCCCTCGGGAGCAGCGGTGCCGCTCCAAGGGAGCAGCCCGCATGAGATAAAGTTGCCTGTCCAGCCCGGAGGGGGGTTGCGGCGTGGAGGAGAAGGATTTCAGTATCCTGAGGATAGAAGCACGGAACGGAGGTGTGTTCGGGCAAGGGGAAGAGAGGGTGTTTCAGGTGTGTGAGGCTAGTGTGTGTAGTAAAGTGACAATTACTGTCATTTCGACGACTCTGGGTTACATCGAGGGCGTTCGTCGCTTTCAAGTATGTGTTAACGTACCCTGGACGTGAGCTGGTGCTATTTTAGTGTCTGTTAATGTCAGAGCCACATCCTGAGTGTCACACCTCTGTCCCGCCCCGGTGTGCCGCAGCATACCGCTGGCGGCCGGCCAGTTTAACCGGGCCGTGTTCCTGGAGGGACTGCGGCGCCGGGCGCGCCACCTGCCGGCCAGACGGGTCTCTGACGGACGGCCGTGCAGCGTCCAGTAGCAGAGAACGGTGCCCAGTAGCGGCGACACACCTGCCATCTGCCGACCGAACGGAGCAGCGAGCAACCGCACAACGCCCGACCTCCAGCTAAGTGACTTTGAATAGGTGGTTATTTGTATTGATGCGGCAAGGGAGGGGCTAGAATCGCGCGAGTGAGTGCAAGACCGCGGTTTCTTCGCGGTTTCTTCGCGATCTTGCTGGTCGGTGAATGATGATCTAGTCATGTCTAGTCATTTTATATGTGTGTGTAACTGCATTGTTGAGCCTTTTCAGCTAAAGTCAGTACAAATCCGTCACGCACGCTAGTCATCCCTGATCCCTAGTCAGAATGGGAGCTGAGTTAAACTCGGCTTGACTACAGGGTGATTTTTTTTAACTGTTAAAAAGTAAACGTCAATGGTGGTCCCTAAATCGAAAAATCTTGTGCAAAAAAGCAATGCACGTGATAGATAAATCTGGGACATTTTGCATGGTGTCATGATTTGTCCCTTTTAACCGAAGGCCTCGGCCCCAATGGGGCCTGAAAATGTCCCACCAATCGGGTACGCATGGTCCACCGCCGTTCAGTAAGGAACGACACAAAACGATGATTTTGAAGCATTGAGGCAGTTCGAAGCATACGATCATCAAGGAAATGCCTCAGAAAGACGTTAAATAATGCACGAACAAGCTTGTAGTCATGAATAACCTTCAAACGGTCCATCTGGCGTATCTGCAGCCTCTGAAGAATCAGTCTTCAGGGAGAAACAAAAACAGCGAATCAGACACCACCAGGGCCGCCAGTAGCAGAATCCTCGACCTGCCCTTTCTAGACTTCTAGTTTTTGGACCCAGGTATGGCAGATATAACAAGAAAACATTGGAAATATCAGGCAGAGCTGAAAATGGGTGATAGGAGCCTTTTCAGTCCGCCTAATGAGCATGGGAGTCCATGGTGCTGTTCAACACGTGCTCAGGCGGGCTAATTCGTATTGGTGAGAGAGGGGGTAACTTCAAGCACAAGTAAAATACACGATGGGCGTTCCTTCACATCGTGTCTGCATGAAATCAAAATGTCCCAGAATGCTCGTCATGCTGGTATATAATTTTCCAATACATATTTGCATTTTAGCGCCGTTAAACCTCATTACTTTTTAACAAGTAAAAAAAATCACCCTTGTATATTCGTGACTCATTAGTCTCAATAGTACTATGGGAATCTCAATGCCTCTGTGGGCTCCGTTACGTAACCGACTGATCTGAAGAAATTTTTGCACAATGTGTTAGTGCCTAGAGGGACGTCCCGTTTGCTGCTGTCCGCAGCAGTCATCCATACACACATTTGCGCCCTCTGCGACCGGGGGAATAACCGCTAAAACGGCATTTGAATCTCGGTGACCAATGATCTGTTATTTTGTTAGTGATGCTTACCAATGCTTGATGAAAGCACAAACAGCTTGAAGCGCCCCCAGTATTGTGCTGGATTGTTTTTGCGTATTCCTCCCTTCGTTTGTTACCGAAGTGTTGCACTATGACGTATTAGCTCACTGAGACACGGAATAGCTCCTTAGCTCACTGAGCGGCTGTGTTAGCTCACTGTCCATTTGAACGTGTAGCTCACGGAGCTTAGTCTTGTATGGTTTCTAGGGTTAGTGCCGTTAGTGGGTCCCGCTCAGCGTGGCCAGTGTCCAGTGATATAGCTAGTTGTGACGCAGTGACTGGACCCTCTGCCGGATGTATGGCTCACCGCTGATGTATATGGCTCACTGCCGGGGTTTACAGCTCAATGCTGACGTCTGTAGCTCACTGCTGACGGACCTAACTCTCTGTGCCGCGCGGTATTGTTCACGGGGACACCAATAAGTCTCACGACGCGGCGATAAGCTGACGACTCGGTCTGACCTGTGACCGGCGCTCTGTGTCGGCGAGTCAGACATTAAGCACGCGGTGTCGGCGGGTCTGTGAGTGCCTGTGGTCTCCGTCACCACTTCTCTGCCTACCTCCCTCTCCGTCCAGTGCTGCTGACCGTCCGTCCGTCCGTATTCCCCCTTCCGTCCCCCGTCGACCGGCCGGTCCGCTGTGGCCTTCTTGTACCAGATCTGATCTGTGTGTGAGAGCGGTGTTGAAGTCTCGCTGGAGTCCGATCCGGTGAGGGCGCTGACAGCACTCTCGGTTCGCTGGGTCGGATAGTGGGCCCGTGCGGGTTGTAGACCGCGGAAATGTGTCGGACGAGGGCGATGACTGAAGATATAGGCGAATTGAGTCGTTTGAGGCGGTGAATGGAGGGGCGAACTTATACTGGTGCTGCAATACAATGTATGTCTGGTGGATGATGGTGTGAGTTATCCCAAAAAGCGAGGGTAGAGTGTGTTGTAATTACTTAAAGAATGCTGCATTTAGTAATAACTGCATCAGAGGAACATCCTACTTTGTTGTCATAAAATAATGATTGCATTACGGAAACGTTTGTCCCACCTTCAACGATTATTTTGTGTATTTCTATTTCCTACAAAATGTGAAAATAGTTTGTCACATGCAAGGGCATATTCACAGTGTATGTCGCAACACGTTTCCATCATCAATGGCAAGCTCTTGACAAGCTTATGCATTATGAAACTTTCCTAGCCTAGATGACTGCTGACTGCTGAGTAAAAATGCATATAAAAGCGATATAAATACTGGTCCACATGTTACCGAAAGATGGCAGTTTTTGCTCCATCCCACTGGTCACTGGCCGGTAGAGCGATTTCGCAGTCCGTATACAGTTTACTGGTTTGCGCTGACCGCCGCGTTGGCTGCCTCCTCTGAGGCACCGGTGACGCTGCCACTCACGGGCGGAGTGGTACGCTCGCGATCACTGTGCACGTTGGGGCCTCGTTGGTTGCTGAGGAGGGCCTGGGTTCGGAGGACGGGCACGTCCCCCTCTCTCGGCGGCGTCGGAGTCTCCCGCGCGGTGCTGCCACCTACGTGGAGATCGTGCGCTGATCGCGTAGCGCTGAGATCCGGAGACGCTATCGTGCCGCCACCTACCAGCTCTCTGGAGCCGCCCTCCGTCAGAAGGGCCGAGCTGTCCGCTCGCCACTCGGTTCCACTGATCCTGCGTCTCTCGGCCTCCAGCGGCGGACACAGCGACAACACCGGTCTGAAGGCGGGCTGCGCTCGTGGCGCGTGCTGGGAGCACGGGCAGCGATTGCCGCCGCCACCAACCACGTCCTCCTTTTTGTGCTTGACGCGCCGGTTCTGGAACCAGATTTTGACCTGTTTCTCGGAGAGGCTGAGGTAGGAGGCGATCTCGATGCGCCTGAGCCGCGACAGGTACATGTTGGCACTGAACTCGCGCTCCAGCTGCAGCAGCTGGTGGCTGGTGAACGCCGTTCGGATCCGCTTGGAGGAGCCGCCGTCGTCGGGGCTGTCGGCCGACTCCGCTGAAACGCAGAGGGGACGTGTGAGGACAGCGGGAGACAGCGACACAGCGGGGAATGGGAACACCGACAGCACGGAAAGGCAAGCAACGACACAGCCCGACAAAGGCGGACAGCTTCACAGCAGGGAAAGACGAGCATCGACAACATGGCAAGGCGGATAACGAGTCCACAGCAGTGAAAGGTGAGCGGCGACAACATGGAAAAATAACGACACAGCAGGGAAAGGCGAACACCGGCAGGGAACCACCAACCACAGGCAAGATGTAGTGAAGGACGAGAAAAAACACAATGGCAAGAAGCAACAAACAGTGCAATAATATCGAATGGGCGATAGTGAAGCGTGCAACTTCAGGAACGCCAGGGCAGCTCTCGGTACATTGATATTTTTTTTAACATTGACGCATGTTTCTGGGCAGAGCTTACAGTGCGTTGAACTTCATAAATAATAATTCATCAGGCGTAGGGCGTTGCGCTGCACTCTGAAGTTTATCCAATATTAGACGAAACATTTTACATAAGCACCTCCATATAGCACATAGGCGTGCGATATGCGACGTGGTTGTTTTCGCCAGAATTAGATCGCGGTATAAAAGGAAATGAAAAGTTGGAATTAATGTAATATATCAGCTCAGTCTCAAGTCAACGGCTTTGTAAAAAAAAAACAATGTTTTCCACAGTTCACAGTTGAGAGCGAAACGGCGAGGTGCGTCACTATGCAGAAATTAAAGAAGCTAGTAAAACCGGCTAGATTAAATCTAGATCTATCATATTTATAGCTACACATATACCACACCCACATCATTATGCGAGACATTCGAATTTAAGTCATATATGATAACCCGAATTACAACCACCGCTGATTGCCTGCTCATCCTATCCTGCTAATTCCCTGAGGGGATATCACCGGCGGCTCACCGCGGGCCCTGGTGACGATCCCGCCCGCTGAGCCCGAGCAAACAGAGCGCCATTGTGCGGGTCCGGGGCGCGCCGCTTTCATACTGTCTTAAATCCAGTTACATCCCAATCACTGTGGCTATGGCCCGGGGAGGGGAGGGCAGATCAGAGGGCGGCGCCGGCCATTGAGGCATGGCCCGCCGCCCGGTCGGCACACAGAAGCCCCGCGCTCAGCAAACCCAGAGCTGCCCGGCCGCAACGGAACACACCGCAAGCGCACGCGAGCGCACGCACCTACTAATGGCATTAACTGAGAAACCGGACTGAAAGTGGGGCGGTAACAGAAGCCGCGCCATTCATAGGTGTATTTAACGGTAACGGGTTCACGGGATTAGGTATAACATTGGGTTATAAAAGAAACGACATGTAACAGCGTAGGGGAAGCGGGGAGAAGTGGGACGTTGTTTGCAGGTTAACTTTTAAAATAGGTTAAAATGGTTGAGCTTCTGTCAAAATATGAGCATTTCCTTGAAATGCCAATAAGTAGGTAATAGGTGAGCCTAGTGGCAATTGAGAAATATATGGGGGTGATGGGTTTCAGGGAGAGGCAAACGATTTAGCTAAATACCTAAGTTAAAAAGGACACTCACGAAGTTGAACGCCGTTCGTCCAACTCATTGCTCTAAACTGGCAATCGCCGATCGATCGTCAGAACTTTGCCATCACACGCGCCGGAGCGAATAAAACACGACTTTTACTAATACCAACTGAGTCTGCTGCTTTGTTGTTCTTACAAGCCGAGCCAAGCGCACTCAACACGCACGGGTGTCGTTTTGCTAGGCCTGGTAGGGCTCGAGCCCTACCAATATTTATTTGGGCCCTACCTACCAACGTTCCCTGAACCCTGCCAACCTTCTTGTCAGCTATCACTGGATTCAAAATGAAAATAGAGCAAGTGCAATACGCATCAATGATGCTTCTTGCACGGCAAGCACATGTATAGCTAAAAGTGAGGTGTCTTAGTTTTTATTTCTTGACTGTTTTGTTAAGTCTTTAATGATGACGGTTAATTTGGTATCGACAAAGGTAGGTAGGAGAGAGTGGGGCAAAGCAGCCATCCTAACGCTTCTTACGATGCCGGCTCTTGATTTTTAAACTTGGATAGATTATTTTTATACCAATGTGATTCCTACTAAATTGCCTTGTATTTCGGCTGCGTTCCATTTCCAAAGGCGTTCGCATATGTATGGGGGATATTGGCAAAACTTTAAATCTATGCATTTTTGGCCACTTTGCCCCATACCCAGGGGCAAAGCTTTCATCGGCGACTTCTAAAACACCGTTATGAGAAACAGAACAGGTGGCTCATGTACGACTAGGGTCAGGGGCGCGGGAACTACTTTCAGACTGGGGGGGGGGGGGGGGCACACCGTAATACCTAAATATCAACCTAGGGTATCCCCAAATCTAATTTTCTCACCGGTTTTAGGCCACTTATTTTTCATCCCTTGGCTTTTCCACAAAAAAAACATTTGCAAAAAAGTGCGGCATACCGTTTCAAAGTTGTGAGGGCACCGGATACGACACGATCCCAGAGTTGGGGGGGGGGGGGGAGCTGCCCCCGCTGCCCCCCGGTTCCCGCGCCTATGACTAGGGTATTTGATGCCCGAGCATAGTTACCGTCCGAGACAAAAATTTTCCAGCTCACCTGTTAGTGGACAAAAAGCATTAAAATTGGCAAAAGACATCTACGATAACCACACAATGCATGAACGAGAACGCTTAAATAGCTCTCCTACAGCTCTGTCAAAAGCTTCAGTAGGTACATACCATGATGCATCCGCACGAATTTTATTTAAATGTAAGCGTGTGCACAGTTGCTGATACTGCAGAGCTGCGGCTGCACTGACCTTTGATGTCGACGGCCGGCGATGTCGGCTTGCTGACCACCAGCTGGGCGGGGTAGCGGACGGCGGCGGCGGCGGAGCAGGTCACGGCCGGGGTCAGCGGGGTCACGGCCGGGGTCAGAGGTCGCGCCAGCTGCACACACATCGGACACGGGTAGAACGGGCCGAACGCCGAGTGGGTGCAGTACAGCGGCGGCAGCGGCGGCCGGGCCAGCGGCGGAGGGGGTGCGAACCCGACCGGAGAGCCCTTGCTCACATACTGGGTCACGGGGCTGCGACTGTCGTATCCGGACACGACCGACTTTCGGTCGTCGCGGCCGATGAGGGCTTCCACGGAGAAGGAGCGCGACATGTGGGCGGTGGGGGCGCGGGGCACTGGCGCGGGGCGGGCGGCACTGGGCGCCCCCGCTCCCCGTGGCTCGGCCGCCGCCTGTGGCTCCTCCCTTGGACACGCCCCCATGACGGCGGCCGCCGGCGCCGGCACGGTGCGACCAATTAGCGCCGCCGCAGGAAGTGGCCTTTGTCCTCTGCCGCACTCCTCCCGATGGGCGTAATTAGCGCAACAAAAATGTCTGCTGCGATCGTCCAGCCGTAGCCATATGGCGGATTTTAACGCCAGCAACATGACACTATTTAGAACGTCAACTAAAAACGATTCCATGTCACTTAGATTTATTTCGTGACAGATTTGCGGGGCAGTAGGAACACGCCACCAGGGGCGTGCTAGATAAAATCGGCATGCAAAAACCATTTAGATGGATTACCGTCACGCCAAATCACCACAATACTACGCTCAAATCCATAGATAAGTTTTTAACAAATTACGCGGCCAGCATGAGCAGCATCTTGCCGTAATGAACAACAACTGGGCATTGTTTCTATATAGCAGCCCATCCAGGAAAATGCCTATATGCGTTACATATCGCCTTATATCGATAATCGAACTTATCATCCTCCGTGACCTTCCATCATTTTGTAATACATACATTCCGAATACTTCAGTCAAATATGCTGCTATCGTACAGCAAATTGGAGGATAAACATAACATTGTAACAACTGAGTATGGCTAACATGGGGTAAAACGCGCTCCTTACAATTTACTTGAGCGGGAAACGAAGCCTAAAAAATAAAAATACGATGACATGCGATGAGGCAGGAGTTTCAAAGAATAGTAGTTCATTCCAAGCTCTTATAAAAAAAAAGTACTCTGCACAATGTACGCACAAGGCTCTGGGCGTTTTCACAGTTAAGTCGGCTTTCCGTCCAATAATGTTTCCTATCGATTCTTGATCAACTTGCGAGTCGAGCGATGGAGCTTTAATGAACCTTATTGTTTGAAACTGAGCCATTACTTATTTACCAGGTAAATCGTCCGAGAGATAGAAAACGCGAGAAGAGAGAGAGAGAGAGAGAGAGAGAGAGAGAGAGAGAGAGAGAGAGAGAGAGAGAGAGAGAGAGAGAGAGAGACCGAGTCATTATAGACGATGTTTAAGAAAACGACATAAGTCACTTTTGATAGGAGAAAGCTGGATCTAAGGGGACTAAAGAAACCATGGGCCCATGGCATGTGTATATACATACGTAGGTGGTACAGGCTGCAGCGCAACATTGAGGAATCATTAATTGAGTGAATAACTGCGTATTATGCACGGTAAAGCTGTTTCCATTCTTAGGTATATGTACATATGAACGTATGTACATACATGCCTGTTGAAGATACGTCTTCAAAAATGTATGCACGGGTACTCGTGGTTGTGTCGGTTCAGCACTGCTCCGTAGTGGCTGGCCGCCGCAGAGGCGCCGCGCCGTATGGGTAGACTGTGCCGCACGGCGCCACGGCCGCGCGGCACAGCATCAAATGTGCTGCACTGGACGCAACGGGAGCTCCAATAACAGTGAGTAAGAAAATCGGATGCATGGCTCCACTGGCGGATCCAGGGGGGGGGGGGGGGGCGGCAGGGGCTTAAGCCCCCCATTCGAAACTCGACAGGGGCGGCAATATAAATTAGCCCCCCCCCCCAAATGCACCGGGATTGGTTATTAAAATGATTCCAGCCTTCGATAATGATGTTCCTTTAGAAACTCCTTTCCGCTGTTAAGTTGGTAACGATTTGGCAGTTATTCAGGGATGGAAAAGTGGCGCCCAACTGACTTTCAGCGTCGGAGATTTATCCTAGGTAAACTTTTTTTGGGACACCCTGTAGGTACAATTGTGACAGATTGCAGGTGTAAAACGACCATCGACGCAAATACTTACTGGCAGTAAAATTGGAAGTGGGAAATAGCTCTTAATAAAAGGGAATGAGAGTGCAAAGTAATTTTCATTTGGATGTCGGTTCGCGCCCCAAATCGACAAATATTGGGATACTGGCCTGCTGTGACCTGAGGCCTGTTTCACTAAAAACTTGTATTTACAAGTGTTTGTAGTTTACAATTCATAAGTATTTTTACCAACTACGTAAAAACCGATTTCACTAAGCTTCATCGCCAGTGGCACCTCCGATAAGAAAATGTTTGCAAATAAACTTGTAAACAGTAAAATTGTTTTTAATCAAGAATTATAGCATGTTAAAGATATTGCTTCTTTGTGTCAAATATTGTCTAGTATTCATGTCAAAAGCTGCCTAATTAAATTATAAATAATGATGCTGTTGGAAAAAGATATAAATGATAATTCACAGCAAGATTCACAGTGTCTTATTATTGTAAGAAAATAACACGCAAAACATTTATCAGCAGAAGACTGTTGAATGCAATTATGGCGCGCGAATGACAAAACTTGACGATATTTTAATACCGATTATTTTGCATCTTAGGGTGCGTGCTAAGTAAAAATTGAGCATGAAACGACTCAACAAAGCATAGTTGTTCTAAATATATGACTGTTTTGCATTATTGCACAAAAAGTACCAAAATTCCGAACGTCAGGACCACTGGAATTTCAGGTTTGTAATTACGATGTTTTCTCTCAAGTTTCTGGTCTTCGTGAAACAGAAAGTTTGCGATTCCCATGTTTTCTTGCAAACTTTTTCTTGTAAAAAAGTTTGCAAATTTTAAACTCAAAATTCATATTCAAAGGTTTCGTGAAATCCAAATCTCAAATGTTGGTAATTATTTCTTGTATACTCAAGCTTTTTCTTTGTAAATACAAGTTTTATTTGTTAGTGAAACAGGCCGCAGGACTGGAAGGTCAACCAATGACCAAGAACCCTAAAATCGGGTACCATTGGCTTCCTCTCGCTACTCACGGGCGACACGCTTGTTTTTTCCGCGAAGCTCCAGCTTGATCAGGGGCCGAACGGCAGGGGTGTCCAACCGACACCTCCCGGCCCGCGAAGGCTGCGCCAAGCACCGACCCGGAGTGGGCTAACTGGTCAACAAAAGCAATTTTAAGTGTTTTTAAAGTAATATAAAGGCACGGGTCGGGTGTGCTACCATTTCTATATTTTTTATTTTATTTTTAGTTAAGAAATATCGTTTCAGGGCTGTGACGAAAAATAAGTGGCCTAAATCCGATGAGAAAACAGGATTTGGGGGTACCCTAGGTTTAGCTCCTGGCATGAGTTGCCCCCCCCCCCCAACGCAGGTCTGGATTAGAGTTGCAAAATTTCCCTACCGCACTACCGGCATGCCGGTAATTTTTCACTACCGCAGGTTTTTTCGTGGTATCTGGCATGTCTTGCCGGTAGCATGCCGGTATTTTTGATTTTGCACAAAAAATTATCAGCATATGATTCAAACTTTGGACACTAAGAGGCTATTGAATTGTAATAAGTTGGACAATGGGTGGCTGTTGGGTGGGGCGGTTACTGAAATTGCCAAAATGTGGCATCTCATGTAGGGGTAAGCCAGAATCAAGAATGCAGGTTTTTTAGTATGCCGGTAATTTGGCGGTGTTTTTGCTTGGGGCGTGGTAGCATGCCGGTATCCCAGAAAATGTTTGTGGGGCGGGGCGGTGCCGGTAGCAGCCCATTGGGAAAACTTTGCAACTCTAGTCTGGATCCGTCCGTGCATGGCTCATGGGCTTATGGCATAGGTAAACAGACACTAACCTAACAAATACAACTAATTGATAAAACTAGCTGATAAAGTTAATAGGAGACTAATAAACATCCAAAGCAGGCAAGTAATAACCAATAGCCTAATGCATAGTCTAGTAAAATGGTGCGGTTGATGGAACCAATATGATGGTAAACGTATTAGTTAATATCTCAAAGCAAGTCTAAATAAGAGATGCTACATATCTAATGTGATTCAATGCCTCAATCCTTTCAAGCATCACAGTGAACACTGAACAGTAATCAGCATTGGCATAATTTGGCGGAGGTAGGTATAACTACGTAAGGTAGGATTTCCGCCATTCATCCAGCTGCGGAGCCAGCCGGGCTGGGATAGGTAATAGGCGGTTATATTCGGTTCAGTGGTCGCTGTTTGCTGCTGACGGGGATATCCTGCGCTCAGTGGTAGCGGTCATGTTACAGACCAGAAATAAAGTCGGCGAGGGGACAGACCCAATTAGCTAAGCGGACATGAAACACCATCGTTCGTTATTTACTGTGATATTGACCCGGATACATACTCCCGATCGAAAGACGTGCGCAATTTATCTGCACGCTTTGTAGTGGCGCCATACCTCATTTAGCACTGACCACTGATCACCCCAATCTCGAACATTAGGGAACTTTTGATGAATGATATCCGACGGGCTTTATGCTTAAACCATCCAGGCGGTGGGGGGGGGGGCATTTTTTGCCCCCTTCAGTTTTTTCGATATATCTCCAGAACCACTGCGCCGATCGTCACCAAACTTTCAGTACCCTCCCGTGAATAGCTTTTGCACATTGTGACAATTTTTTCCAAAGGCTATGATAGGTTGGCCGCTAATGACGTCAGAGTGACGTCATTTCTGCCATTTTCGACCCAATAAAAGGTTTCGCGGGAAGAACTGGCAGGCCTGCAGCTTTAGAGATACAGAAAAAAGTTGCAACATAAAAGGTTAGAATTAGCAGGACTACAAAACTGCTGTCTTGGATTTTTGAAATTGTTGGATTTTGACCCCCAAACATAAAAAATAGATTTTTTGAATACAATAGCCAAAAAATCCTAAAAGCTTTTTGAATTTCGAAAACACCAGAATATATGTGAAAGTCCCTACCCCTTTCTATCCACATACCAAATTTGAGATCGATACCTGTTTTTGGCCAAGTTATAGCGAAAAAAATGCTCAAAATTGATAACGTTAAATTCTCAACCTCAATTTTTAGAAATTCTAGACCTCGTACCGCAAAACAAGGACCACCATTAGACTCCCCTTGACAAGCTGCATCGAATCAATACCCATTTTATGCAAAACTATCAACTTTGAAATTTGACCTTTTTGACATGACCTTGACCTGACCTCCACCACAAAGTGACCTAAACCGTACCTGATGGTCTTCTAACCAACCTCATTGAGTTGGAAATGAAAAATTGGCCATAAAACATGCATCGCACAACCTTAGCAAAGTT